CAAGTGGACAACAAGTATTAGTCCAGAGGGGTAATTGATATCTTCTACTGACAAATATAAACAAACGCAAAAGATTGGGCAAAATAGAAAAAAAAGGTTTCGGGGGCAAAAAAAGAAAATCAAACGAAATAACAAAAAACTGCAACAAATCTAGCAAGTGATAACATTGGGTGAATCGTTTTAGTTGGCACTTCACAGGCCGATCGAGGAGGTTTTTAAGGATGGCTTCAAACTTGTGCACATTATTGATGCTGATGATTTCCATCGATCCTTCCTGACTGCAGCGCTACACATTAATTTCTAGTAAGCAACATTAAAGTGAACCCTTAAGTTAAATTCAAGTTATTATTCAGAAAATATTTTTCAGTCTCACGCACTTATTTAGAGCCTAATATGGATTACTTAAGTCTGACCGTGAAACTGTGAAACTGTGAAAGGTTTGAACCCAGGAGTCATTTCAAAAGTAGGTTGAGTAGGTTAAGTCTGACTCTTTGGAAGGGCTTTTGGGCTGTGGAATTTTAGTGACAGTTGAAATTCTGGTGCAAATGCTGACCTAGGAAAATAAAGATGATACTGTCGCGATAAGAGATTGCGTCCAAAAGCTAGATTTCAAAACTTTGTTGCGTAGATGGCGTTTTTCTGGTTTGATCTTCGTTTTTGACAGCCGAACGCGAGTTCTCGACAACCCAGTTTAATCTGAAGGCATCTTCCATCACTCAAAAATACTCACAGCGAGCCTCACCTTTGTTTCATCGACTCTCTTTAATAGTTTATGCCTCTTCAAAAAAGTAGAAGATACAGGAGGAGGACATTTTGAAAGTTACTAAACACAACATGTATTACACAATACTCACCATGGTGTTACGGTTAAATTGAAGTCGATTGTTCCTGATAGAACATTCTTCATTGCTGGTTTTAATGTGACAGTCATGTAAAATGTTTTGTTTGTCTGGCTGATATAATCCGCTAGGTCAATGCAGCCAGTAGCAATAAGCTGGCGCCTACCATCTTTACACTCCTGCACGTAAAACAGAGAAAAATGGTCAAAACAATAGTAACAAATATAGTTAATAAGGGAGTTATATCTAGTAAAAAATGCATTTTAGTAAAAAAACCGTACTTTCATGACTTCTTAGCGAGTATTTGCTTTCCTTTTAAGCGCGAATGAGGTCGACGTCTCAACTTTTTTATCAAGAAGGGTATAAATGGTCAAAACTTCAATGTCTAATACGACGACGTTTCTGGCGAAACCAGGTCCAAATTTTTTCTTCCACTTGGGCAGACCGCAAGCATGTAAATGATCAAATCCAGAGAGAACCAGTCCATCTAACCCAAGTTATTTGCCTGTAGAAACCTTGGAGAAGACCTCTAGTGTGACCGCACCTATAAGTCATCTTTTATGATTTAAAGTAAAAGGCGAACTTACATTTTTGACAACAATCTTCCAGGGGCGGTCTTCGTAATAATTACCAGCTCGTTTTGTGTTCTACGTAAGAGAAAAAATACTTAGATTTCATAGATAATGTCTGCATAAACACACGGTCGTTAGTGCATAAAGTGAAATACCGGTACGTTTACGTTTTGAAAGAAATTACAAGCAGCCTGTAGTAACATTTCTATAGTTTTTGCCATCTATTATGATAAATAACTCTTTACCTTAAACACTTTGAAAGTGTTTTTCACCGGATCCGGTTCTGGCCACACATGAGTGCCACGGTATGGATAGACAAATCCTGGCTGCCATGGAACCGGCTAAACAAAAATGAAAAGTTAAATCTTTTCATCCCACAGTTCCACACAGTTGTAGTTCAACGAAGTTTCGCTGGAGCGAAAAATCATATCAAGTCAAAAATTTAAAACAAGAAAATAAGTTATCTTACCTTAGTTTGACAACTTTTGTTTTGTTGGCCCCACAGAATGATGAGCTTGTTAGGATGCCTGGGGAAAAAAGCGAAGAAAAGCGAAGGTGTATAAAGATTTAAACCGGTTCTCTGAAAACAACAGCAAAAACAACAAAAAGTTTAAAACTTTGCTTAGTTACTAGTTTTCGTCAGTGTTTTCTATGGCAAAACAGACATACGTAAACTAAACTATAATAAACATCACCCAGCAGTTGGTGCAGTATGTCTGTGTAAAAACAAACTTCCAGTACATGTAAGTTTGGAATATAATTTCAAATCTCTCATGCACATTTTGGCGGCCATTTTTCTCGATTTCCTGGGAACAAGTGATAAATTCCGCACCCTCAGACCCCCTCCCTGGTGCCATTTTGGTATGTGTTTTTGAAAGGAAATAAATAGAGATTATACCGCCTGTTCTTATTTTTGAAGTTTCTAATAATTAGTACATAACTTTTTTAAAAAGCGAAAGAAATTTCAAATGACAATGAGAAGGGTTGTAGAACTGAAAATTTTAACCCATCCTACGCGATGCATGCCTCTTCGCTGTTATTTTTTCTATCACTTTTTTTCTTTTTTTGTCGCTTACCATTTATCTGGCTGACATTCGATGGTCAGCAGGTTTACTGATGCTGTGATCTGAAAATCACGAGCGTTGCTCTTGTTCCTCTTTATCTTTTGTATGACAGAACTCATTTTGCTCCTCTCTGATACGCTTTCAAGCAAAATCTAAACTTTGTCTTAACCTTTCTGTTTACTTTCATTATGATGTCATGTCACTAGGTTTCTGTTAATTCGAAAGCGCGCGCTTGGAATTGATTCTTTCAAGAGTTCAAAGACAGTGAAACTTCATAGATCTACAGTACAGAGTCTATTTGTCATAGAAAAGAAACAACCGAAGATTATGTTCTTCCGTTAGCGCGGGTTACTGTCCAATCCGTCTGTTTATTTTTCTCTAAGCTGATAGTCAGTAAAGACAAGGACGCTGAAATCAGGAAAGCTTGCATGCAAAACATTTTTCTGATGAACGAAAATTCTTTAACACGAAACTTTATCAACGGATGTCTAAAATGTATTTGTAAGGTAAAGTTACCAAGGAATTTGGGAGGCGAGGATTGGTTCGCTTGCGCGTGTGATTCTTGGCATTAAAATGTCCTCAGAAATATTTATAGTTTATAAATAATTACTACAATTGCGTATAATTATATTCTTGAATTATTTTCCCCTACCTTCGCTCAAAATCTATTCGTTAGTTATATTTGGGCTCTTTATCAAGGGTCACGGTAAATAGTGCTGAGACAGAATTTAAGAGTAGTCCAACTCGTCTGGCAAGTATATACAATGAACTCGTACAAGAAATCACGGATACATTGTCTACAAGCTAGTCTCCAGGCTTTAGTACTTTCTACCCTGCGTGTAGCGTTTGTAGAAGTCAGAGTGGAGTTGCAAAAAACATCCTGCGATTAATGGAACTCATAACTATTATTTGAAAACAATAGGTTATTGTTTTAGAACAAAAGCTAAAGGCCCTCTTATCTTAACAAGCTTTTTAAGCTATCAGGTCATTCTAAGGCTACGTTCACACGAATCTGGATATAAATGAAAGTAACAAACCGCATAATTTTCTACGCGAAGCGGCCTTCAGTCCACACGAAACCAGTGAATCTGCGCTCAAAGAAACGGCATATTTTTTAAATCGCCCTCCAGAGTGGTTTGAAGCCCCGTCCACACGAATCCGGCTGAACAGATATGCAGTTTTAGAAGCGTCTAAATTCGTGTGAACTGGGCCTAACTTATCACTGACTGCTGTACCCCTGTATCTTTGCCTGCCTCGACTATTAACTTCTGCTATTTGCCTGCGGAAATAAATTTCATGTTAGTATCCTGTATAACCAGCTTAACTGAACTTAATTTAGCATGACCGAATTCTTGTCTTAAATATTTTTCATCATAATCCTATATTATTTGTGCTCTAGAAATCGCTGTTTTTACACTGTTCGTGATTTTAACTGAGCCGTTATACTCAAGTATACAGAGTGGCAATTGTTGTTACACTGTAATAAACTTGTTAGCTCTTTTTTCTCTTTCTTTAGTCAATAGGGCTTGTTTAACCTATTCTAAGTAAGTATTTCCAAAGGCTTGATTAAAGGAGAAAACTATCAGACTAACAAACATGACACTTATTCAGTCTTAAAGAACCGATAACAATTAAGCTATCGTTATTATAACGACAAAAAAAGTTTTGATATTGGTTGAGCTCCGAAGGAGGACAGCACAAGATGCATTTTGATATGCTTTGATAACCATGGATCGTATAGGCAAAAACGTGGGAAAATTTGTACGGTCGGCGGAGTGATCTGGCTATTCCATGCGGACTGGTTTGCAAGAGCAGCCTCTTTTTCTGCTTTTAGTTGATGAATAAAAGGAAGTCATTAACGAGTGGATACAATATCATTGAGTAACTGTTGATGATGCAGACAGGGTAGTTTACAAGCAAAATAAGCTTTATAAGCTTGTACTACTAGTTCCATCGCAAAATAAACATTTATGCCAAGTCAGTCATGTCTGATGACCAAGAAAATGTGGACAGACTAAGAGAATCGCTTCAACGATCTCAAACCGCCAGAGAACTGGAAATTCAACTTCGACGGCTTAGAAAAGCGGGAGTAGTTTTACACGGTAAAAAGACAGTTAGGAAAGAAACAGGGAAACAGGTTCCGCAAATGGAACTGAAATTACCTGATATTCACTCGACTCAGCCAGCTAAACAAAAACCTCAACGCGATGGATTGAATAAAAGCCGTTCCCGAAACAATTCGAAAGCTGGATCCAGGAAAATGAAAGCCCAGTGTGTTTCGCGAAGAGAACATTTTGAGGGGCAAGACTCCAACAGTACATCACAGAAATTAGACTTTTCTCTTAATGGAAATAGCTTTGAGAGAGTAAAAACACTTGCTATAGAACCTCCAAAGAACGTTGTTGGATGTGCGGAGAAGCAGTTTGACATGTATTGCTTTGAATGTTGTGAAAAAGGTATTTTACCAGTGTTATCAGGACCCTGTTTTAGTCCTTGGATAGGAGTGAAGAAAGAAAAGAAAAAACTTGCAATAGATCGGGGGCACTTCAGTTGGCAAGAGGCCAATGTTCATCGATTTTATTCCAAGGAACAGCGCCCCAGAAGCGACTGTTTTAACCTCAGTAAGATTCTGAGCGAAGTCAGTGAGATAAAAAGAGCAAGTGAAAGCCAAACAAAAGAAGAATCACTTTACATGAAGGCAAGTTATAAAATATTATGTCCAGAAACAAAAAGAAGTCAGGAAAAAAGACAAAATTGGCCACTGGAAGAACCAGAAAACGCATGGACAGTTCCGAAAAAAGTAATAACAGTAAAAAAGGAACAACGCTTGAAAAAACTTCTTAGGCGAAAATTAATCTCGTGCTACGACCTCGGACCGGTCATGGAGCCATTTCACGTAATTGAAGGAGAGAGACTGAACCGTTCAAATTCACTTGGTGAAGATAAGGTGAACGTGGATTTTCTTCAAAGCAAACAAGCTATTTTCCCATTCGCTGTACCACATTTTCGATCGCCTTTTTTTCCTATGTCGAGAAGTGAGATGGTGAAGGTTTCTCAGGTGTTGACAAGGTGTCAGCTGTTTCCATGGCAACTGAAAGACTTAGCTGAAGTCAAAAAGCAAAATGAGTTGGAAAATGCGGTGGTTACCAGTGTAGAATCAAAGCTTTCAGGATCTGATTTAAAGAGTGCGAATGATATCAACAACAAGATAACAGTTCCTATAATTTTTCCAGCGAATGTTTGCTAATGTCAAGAGAGGATCCTCTCTTGATAACGCAGCATTGAAATACTAACATTTCAGTATTTTTATTTGCAAATTGAAATTCACAGATATGTTTGCAAATTTGTTTTCATTCTTACAGATTTTAGCAAGATACGTGGAATCTGTAAGAACGCTTTTGAAGATCTCTGGTGCTCTCCTCAGACTCCCACTTTTTTGTCCTGTATTTTTGGCCCGCTCGCTACAATCTGAACACGCGAGTGAAACTAGCTTAACAACTTACTGTGTTTACCTTTGTTTTTAACTTCGTATATTTATGCTTAGAGCACTCTTAAGATCAATGAAGCAAATCTATACATTGTATATTCGTTTTTATCTACATTGTATCTATACATATTTTGTAAAACTCAAAAACACGTCTTTTTCTTTGTGAGTAGTTGTTGCTATCAGGTTGTTGTTGCTGTTGTTTTTTTATTTTTACACACAAACCACATAAAGAGTAGGGAACGTTAACCCCACTGATACGGACACTCAAGGGGCGATAGAAACAGGGGCGGATCCAGGATATTGTTAAGGAGGGGGTGCACTCGTCTCTTGCTCTACTTCAACACCAATAAACCACATAGTTTTTTTTTTTGCAGAATACCAGTTGTATTAGAAAACCGCGGGTCATCTCAGGGGGGTGCGCATCCCCTGCACCCTCCCCCTAGATCCGCCCCTGGAAAGTGTCCGTATTAACGGGGGTGTCCGTGTTAAGCGGGTCATTCAAAAAGACATCTTTTATTAGTACAAAATACTTAAGACAGAAAAAAGGATATTAGCGTAAAGCGGGGTTCGATTATTTATAGATTAGCTAGGGCTAAAAGCGAAGTTCTGGTTACTATATTTATAATTTGCTCACACAAAAATATAATCGTCGGTTAGGCCCGGTTCAGACGCCGAACTTTTCATGAGCCGAACCTAATACATTGAATTAAGTACATGAAAAGTTCGGCGGAACGCCTGTTTCAATTTGGAACGGCTCAGCCGTTCTTTCCGCCTGGCCCGGCCGGGAATTTCGCCTTTAGAGCGACTTTGGAACGGCTTTGATTCAGACCCCGAAATTTTCATGTCCCGAACCTAATGCATAAATTATTTTAACATATTTGTAAGTAGTTTGACTGAAATGAGCATTTTTCTCCTTTTGAATTTAGTTCGGCGGGAATTAAGATCGGTGTCTGAATCAATTCAGCCGGTCTAAATAATTTGGGTCTGCTTTAATTCGAATTAAGTTCGGCTCATGAAAAGTTCGGCGACTGAACCGGACCTTATGCTAAACGGCGACGGCATTGAGAACGGCAAAAAAACAACAACAGCAACAACAGCTATAGGTCTAAGGGCCTGTTTACCTGGAGGTGGGTACCCCAGACAGACCCCAGATAGGTGAGGTAACATGCGGCGGGTTACGCCACCTATCATGTAAAGACACAGGCGGCCCAAGCTCATTTCATGAACGCGGACGTGACTCTTGCTTGCGAGCGGTGTTGTGTTACAAACGGTTATTTACAAAGGTTTGTATGGGATGCAAACGGTTTTTCTTAAAAGAGATAAAAAATGTTATGTTTTTAAATAAAATCGACGTACCTTATTGCCTTGTTGTATTCTTTGTTGTTTGCCCGCGTCTCAGGCCGTTTTGAAGCGTTTTCGGCGAGTTAGCGCTATTTTGGTGTCCCACTGCTAAAAGAAAGTCTTTCTTTTAGCAAAACGGCCTGAGACGCGGGCAAACAACAAAGAATACAACAAGGCAATAAGGTACGTCGATTTTATTTAAAAACATAACATTTTTTATCTCTTTTAAGAAAAACCGTTTGCATCCCATACAAACCTTTGTAAATAACCGTTTGTAACACAACACCGCTCGCAAGCAAGAGTCACGTCCGCGTTCATGAAATGAGCTTGGGCCGCCTGTGGTCCTCACGGGCTATTGACTCAGAGCCCATTCGGGTTCGGGGAATAATTGTTAAATATTAGCATTAGTGAAGAGCCATAATAGGACAGGTCCTATTATGGCTCTTGCATTGGTGTAGTTTCTCGATCGCACAGAAGCTCATTTGGATAGCGCGAACTGGCCTGGGGCCGAGTTGTTCGAAGCCGGGTTAATTAGCCTTGGTTAAGATAAGGTTAAGATAACCTTACCCGGGGTTAGTGCGAGTTGAAAGCTTAAAAAGAATTTCAGTTTTACTTTTTTTTGTCTACAAGTTGATGATTGAAAGCTCTAAATATAACAGAGAAAATTATTCGAGAAAATGCTTTTGAACGCAAGAAAGAGAAACCCGGGTTAGGTTAAATTCAACCCCGGGTTAAGCGGTCGGTTAAGCGCTAATCCTTCGAACAACTGGGCCCTGGTGATGAGACTGGGCTGATGATCTTTCTTTCTAAAAATAAATCTGGCGGGAATTTCCCGGAAATCTCTGTACGCAGACAGGGCTCTTAAAATAAACACCCCCAACGTTCTTCTTCCTTTTTCGCTGGATCTTCGACATGGCGGCAGCAAAGGGCTGGTCCGGACAAGCCGAGTTGGCGATCTGCTGCCTTGTTGACGAGACACGCGAGGGAAAAAAATTGCTAAGAAGAGATTTTCTCGGTCTTGGCTGCCTGGCGAAGTTTGAAAGTGTTGAGTTTCTTCGCCCGCGTGGAAAGCCTACTAGAAGTATAAATTCAAAGTTCTTCCTAGTTGCAAATAAACGAGCGGTTCTCACAAAAGATCATCTTATGGCGATCAAGAAGCCAAGAAAAGATAGAAAGAAGATTTCCGTTAAAGTTGTCGCCGAATTTCTGTCAATGGAGGATGGCAAAGTGCTCGAACGCAGAGATTTGAGTGAGTTGTGTAGTTCTTTCGAAAAGGACGTCTACGATGTAAGTGACGTTACCTACGTCGCTCTCACAAATCAGAAAGGAAGCAGCTTTTTGCGTTCCAGATGCTTGGAGGTGTACAACTTCTCGGAAGGAAGCGAATCGTCAGTGTTATGGGATCAACTTCAGTGCCTGGTTTTTAGCAAAGAAACGGTTTCGGAAACAACGCAACAAGAAAGGCCTGTCGCGTTCTCCACGCAAATCTACGATCTTTTTCCCTGCGACCATAGCCCTAGTAGAAAGCGTTTTCGTAAAGAAGATGAATTTGCGAAAGGAGACGTACCACTAGGGGCAATAATAGCGACTAAAGATTGCCAGCTTGCAGGATTTTTGGGTTTTTACAATAAACACCCTGTGCCACTGTTGTTTGGAAGCAACTTTCAAGAAACAGGTACGTAGTGACTTATAAATACAGTATTATTTAAATGCTCTGTGCCACATAGCTCGGATAATTCTTTTTTCCGTTCGTTTGATTACCACGGTAAATGAAATGAACCATGTAGTTTACATGCAGACCGAAAAACTTTGTAACAATAAAAGTACTATTATAATTGATTAATTTATGGCAAATGCACACTACGATTTGTCGTCTGTCACTTTGTAATTATTTGGGCGTGGCCCAAATAGAGTAATGGAAACGGCTTGTTTTGACGCAAATGTGCAATAGGTACGCAATACGTGCTAACGTAAACAAGGTAAGTAAATAAGCGAACCGAGGCGAATGCCACGCGAACGTCTTGTACAAGGTAAGAGGCATGTGGGTAAGAAAGCTCTGCTAGCACACGGCACTTAATAGCACTTTTCTGATCTGAATCTTTAGTATTTTACCTTATCGAAATTTGGAAGTCTGAAGTCCACGAATGAAATCTATCAAAAATATTTGGAATATTAACGACGGGTTTTGGTCATAATAAGATCACAAGCAACGAACCTTGAAACACAGAAACTTAAAAAGCGGATCGAAATCCACCAACCACAAATCATAAACAATGACCTTTTGAACCCGTTGAAGAAAACTTTCGTTTCCTAAGAGGTCCGCTACGATGATTGACATCTGACATTTTTTTGACGAGAGGATCGAAATGCACCAATCATAAGGGAACTTAAGAACCACGACGAAGTTCACGACGACGACGTCTGTTGACTGGGAAAAGACTGGAACGAGAACGTCGGTTTCGGCGGGAAAAAGGAAAGTTGAGATGCGGTCGGTCGGTAGGTCGACGACGACGACACTGAATGTAAACACAGATGTAAAACTGTGATGTTCGTTCGCAACAAAGTTTTTCGCAATGGCGTCTTTCAAAACAACGCAAGATCTTTTTATATTTGTTCAAGCCGTACGTCTAATTTCATTGACGATGAAAAATTGTTTGTGCTGTCTGACCATTTCAAGTGGAAATACACCTACTTTCCGTACGAAATTATTCAACTTTCAACTTGAATGAGATGGCCGAGTCCGAGTGTCCGTCAGAGTTTAGATTTCGAAAAAGAGACATTCTGATGTGATAGCTGTTTTCCATATAAAGTTTATTTCCTCTATATTAAAGATATATGATTTGCCTTACCTAAATACGTACAAATAAATTTATCACAATTCACTTACGAGTTCGCTCGCTCGGCCTCCTCAGCTGTTGCCATTCTTCAAAGTAAAATCAATTCATTAGTCGAATTTTCAATCAACATCGCTTGTTTGGAGAAAAAAGGAACGATACCTCGATTTAGGAGGACAAGAAAATGTAAAGGCCTTCAAAAATCGCTTAAAACAGTGGATTTATACCTGCCGAAGCTTGTGGATTGCAGGACGACGTGATTCTACTTTGTCTGGCGTCGTCGACGACACCACGACGACGAAATTTACTAGTCGCGCTTGCGCAGTACAGTGTAACTCACTTCCGGTCGTCGTCGACCAAGCCGTCGTCGTGGTTCTTAAGTTCCCTATAGAAAGACCTAAGAGGTCCTCTGAATTTGCTGTTTTCTTTATTTTATGTCCATTTTCGTTTCCTTATTTTGTGATTGGTCGATTTTGTTAGGTCGAGTGGATAATCCAATGAGGGACGATTTGGATATCGTTTGATCCGAAATTTTTCGAAGCAGCAGTGAAAAGCAATTTGGATACCCTTTGGCCGCGGCGTTTCCAGGAACGAGTTAATATGTTGTTCAATCATTTTATCCCAGGTTAAACTTACAAATGCACACACTGTTCGCGATAGGCCCACACTAAAGAATAACAGTGACTGTTTTCGGAATGGGCTGGTCCGCGAACTCAAAGAAAAACAAAGGAAATTATCAAGACGTTCAATGACATCAGAGACTCATGGACCCCATAGACATAATAACAAATTTGAATATCAGGAGTGTACGTGTAAAACGGCTAACAGTTTGAACAGAGAAATGTTGAACAAGTTTGAGAGTCGCAAGATTTGTGTAGGTGGTACGGTAATCAGTGTGACAATAGTGATTTTGATTTTTGCATTGCGGAACATAGCGAGTTGCGTGTGATAAAAATCTGTTCCGATGAAGGACGAGACGATTGTCAACAATTGAAACCAAAAGGGACTGAGGCTTCTTTTGGAACTACCGTGATAACTGCAACAATTCTTTTTATTATTTCAATTTTGTTTAGCAGGGTGACGGTTAATGTACTTGTTTTTGTATTGCGTGTTGTGCTTTTTCATCTAGTTGTGTATGTTGTGACGCGGTACATGTACGATGCTGTGCGTCGGGATTTTGCATTATCAGCAAGTTTTGTGTTTAATAAAGTGTTTTGATGGCAGCGAGGTGACGACAAGAAAAGGTAATGAGCTAGTTCTACAGAAGGAAAATTGTGTTGTGGAGGAAATATAGGAAGTTGAATTGAGCTCTCGTCGTAGGAAATTATTTATAACAGAACTTACAATTTCAAAATCAGGTTAGTCAATTATATTTTCGGCATGACAAATTACCATAAAATCGAGATTGTAATTCGAAACTCGCGTTGTTTTCAAAATTTGCAAAAATCGGGCGCTGCAAAGAAATATTTAGGTTGCAAGCGCTTCGAGATACTGTACCTTCAGAACGGCATAGCTTTTACTTGTTGTGCTATATCTTTCAAAACTTTCAATCGATTCTAGCTCAAAACTCTCAAAGCAGCGGTTTAAATGTTGAAGCCCGTGGCTGGTTGAAATCGTCTCTTGTTTGTTTTCAAAGGATTTAGGATGGATCGAATCGATGGATCGATTATTATTTTATCAGCTTGTGGTATGAACGAAACGTTTTTTTTTTCTCGATAAAGTTCACTCAACAAATTTAGAAAGATTTACTTGACTTTTCATCGAACTGTCTTTTAATTGATATGACTATTGATTGGAACGATGTCAACGATCTGACCATGGAATGAAATGACCGGTTACCGTCATGCCCCTAGCAGACTACCGATGAGTAAATTAAAGTCTTTGTTACAGAAAACACGGAAAGTGACACTTTTTGTATGGAAGAGTATTCGGAAAAATACACCATTGTCGTCTGAAATTCATTGTTACGTTAAAAATAGAAAAGGTTTACACTTAAACAGGTACAGAAGTTAAACTGTAACTGTGTGAGGTTTTTACTAAAGGGGCAACTCAAAAACTAGTTCGTAAACGAGGGAAGGTGTATATGTCGTCTAAGCATCAGAGCACAGGCGATTTAGGTGGAATGAGATATCCAAATAGGCTTCTAAGTAAGAATTTGCCCCTCTGTACGTGTAATTATCCATTTTATAGTGCTTAAAACAGTTTGAATCACTGGGTTAATTTTGGCCAATGTAAGCTTTGTACTGATATAGAGAAGAATCCAGGATCTTCAGTTTATGCAGATGCTACAAAAACAATTAATGCTCCATACTGTCAAGGAAATGTTACAGGATTTCGGGAAAATGGTGGACAACGATGTGTCGCAATGAGTCTGTGTGCTCTAATTTACAGTAAGATAACAAAGATTACTTCAGTTGATGATATGACTCAAATAATGATTGTTGATATTCAATTATATTCTAGTCTGTCACTGCTTGCAAGACAATAATCTATGTTAACGTTAACAGAATTGCCAGGAATGGTTACAGTGTTTGAGCAGTTTTTCCACCTTGAATACAGTGACCAGTAACAGTTATACTTGTAACATCCATCACTACTGTATATGCCACTCACAGGTTACAGCATTTGAAACACTCTTGGCACTGAACTACAACTCATTCATTTTAACGGTGGCAATTATTGGTGTTGGTATCTACAGCACTGGGGCTGGGGGATATAATGTATTTGATTCTCATGCTAGAGATATGTATCATAACAATCAAGTGAAAGGACATGTGTATGGGAAATACCATCCATGCATAAATTAGTATAATATTTTCAGACTCTACATAGGAATGAGGATATACATGAATTTAAAGGTGTGTACATATTGCCACCTTTGAACCTCATCTTTTCTCAAGCAATGTTGAAAATTGTAGTATATCAAATTTTAATAGTTACCAATGTTCCTGTAAACAGTGCTACAATATACCCTTAGCAGTTTATGCAATGCGTTACTCTCTTATTAATCTTTGTGGATACTGGACTTAAGGAACTTCATTTGCCCTTGTTAATAACCGGAATACACTGTACAAAGTGATGGATGTGAAAACACATCTGTCAGTATCAGTGGAGCTGAGATAAACCTTACTTACCGGGCTGTAATCACTTATGTCCTAAGTTGCAATTTGGCTCCAAGCATGTCTGCATTGAAGATGTGCATATTTTCAAACATTGTCGTGAAATGACACTATTTTTGTCGTGGATTGGGGCATACTGTATAAGCTGCGCGGTTCCGCCAGCAAGTGGAGTAAAGTATTTGTCTTGTCAGGTAAGATATGATGACAGTTCTTTAGCTGCAATAAGGCATGTTCAAAGTATCATATCCATAGTACGACCACGCCCAAATATACGCTGACACAGCGTCTTGTTCAAAATTATATTGATCTGTATCATTTAAACGTAAAATTGCAACTCAATGTAAACTTGTCAGAGATTTCAACCCTGTCAACTAAAAAAGGGAGGTCTTACACACCGCTCCCACGAGCGCCAAAGGTGCAGGGTTGTAGGGGGTTCTGAAGGCATGCTCCCTCGGGAAAAATTTAAGATATGTGCCTCTAAGATGCCATTTCCTGCATTTTGAGGTCACAGTCAAAGAAAATACTGTGCCCAAAATTATCATAGGCTCATTTTCGGATGCCAAAAGGGTAAAAATGGCTGAGAGACCACAGAGAAACAGCAAAGAAGCATGCTAAAAGACTGGTTAAAGAAAAAATGGAAGAGTTTCTCAAACTGGGAGAATATTAAATGAAAACAGGGGGCCGGAAATATTTGCCTAAAACGGGAGGGTTGCAATCCTGACTTACATGTAAATTAGCAGTGCTCCACGCGTGGGCGAGTGTAGCTCCACACCTAAGAAAATGTGGTAATCTACCCATTCAAGAAATTTTGGTTATCTCTTCACTGTGGTTGTTTACCATTTACCACAAATTCCCGGAAATTCCTGTTGGGATGTCAATGGTAAATGTTTTTTGGTTCGTTTCACTGGAAAATTCCTGGGACAAACGGAAATTCTGAAAAGGTAGTCCGGTTTTCCCGGTTGGGATGTTCTGCGTGGAAATTCGTTTACCATTTACAGGTTTCTTGAGTTTTGTGCTAGTTTCATGTTGTAACTAGAATCCAGTCTATCGCGCTACAGGGTTTATCATAACTGAATCTGTCAGTAGGCAAGATGAAGCGAATCCTGCATTCTGATTGGATATGTGAGCGGGCAAGATGGGCCAGGATTTCCCGTGTTGGTCCAGCAAGAAAAAGTTCTCTTTTTGGCCATATAATAAATCCTTTATGTTTCAACCCTAACTTTTTTTAACTTTTCCTTCCCTCCTCGATTAGCTGTAGGCTACTTTGCCGGCAAGGATCAATTATGGCTGGTTTCAAAAGTGTTTTTAATAAACTTGAACCTTTAATGACCAGGCTTGTTCAGTTTAATGGCTGTATGTTGGTCTCATTCTTTTTTGACCAGCACGAAGTCCAGGTCAACAAAATCAGCCAATATCCATCCATCTTGACCTCACACTTGGTCAATAATGCAGTGTCTACAAAGTTGAATGTACAAAAGAAAAATTCTGAGCCTTGAACATGCGCATGCAAGTTTTGATTTCATGTGTAAGATGTCATTTTGTGAAATTTGACATTTATTTTCTCGGGCTCTCATAAGAAATTTTCTTTGGTGTTATCACAGATAACTAATTACATCTATAGCCCTTGAAAATTAAGTTATTCTGGTACAAGGTTTTTGTCCACTGAAAATTAAAAATTACTCAATTTCATACGTTAATCATGCTTTTTTTTTCTTAGGTGAGACAATGACTCATACTGGACAAGAATCACAGGGGTGTGCTTTAGAGAGTGTTAGTCATACGTCCTATCAAAGTCAGCTAGCTGGGCTGCGGTCAAGAGCACTCTGTCTTGAGGATTATCTCAGTCAACCTTCATTCATGTCACCGTTGGCAGTAAATGGGTCGGAAGATTCAGGCGCAGGTGAAATGGCTCTTCAGCAGCAGAATGTAGAAAGTTATGGAGAGGATGACCTGCAGAACAACGAAAGCCAAGGTACAGGTTTAATTATGATAGTCTGATAATGGGGAGGTGGATGCCAACCTCATTCTCACTGGCGTGGTCTGCAAAGGGGACTGTTTTTATATGGTCCTTCATTACTTGACTTAAATTCCCACTGTTGTTGCTACCCTCTAACAATTTCACTTGCCAAGCAGATTTTGGGTGGGGTAGCAGGTGTGTTGTCAGAAATAGGCTTCTAAAGATACAATAATTCATTTTTAAAGTGGATTATCATTATACAGTCACCGGCATACATTTGCCAGTAAGTGATACATTAATGCAGAACCAAACATACAACAGCATTGTAAAGTTAAGTAAAACTTTATTGAATCTCCCAATCAGGGTTTTTCAGACCCAGCGTACATAAGCATATAGACTCATAAGGTTACAGTTTGAAATACTGAATAAAATATCTTAAAACATTAAAATAATTTATAAATTATAACAGATAAAAACATCAATGGGTAACTCTCGTAGCTGACAAGAAATGATGCAAAAAGGAATTCTCTAAGTTTCTTTTTGAAAGTACGAAGGCGGTCTGCAGTAGTGATCACAAGTGGCAATGAGTTCAAGAGTTTGATTTTGCTCTATATAGAAACGTTTGTTGACCTGCAGCGGGTTGATAAGCTGGAATGTTAAGATAGGCCTTATTTCTTGTGTTGCGATCATGAATAGTAGATTTTGTCACAAAGCAATCACTCAAGTAACTTAAGGTGCTAGCCCTTTCACACACTTAAACGTGAGAATGCCTACCATACACATCAAATCATAACTCACAGGGAGCCAGCATAACTCCTGAAGAGCCAGTGTTATATGATCAAATTTGCATGTATTAGTGATTATTTGATTATTCTTACAGCAAAATTCTGGATTTTTTGCAGCTTTGAGATATTTTTCTTAGTTGTGCGAGGCCATACTGGAGAACAATAGAATAATTTGCTAAATACCAGCACATTATTGATAACATTCCCCAATGTCCTGGTGCTGAGAAGGTTGTCTCACCCTATTTATCTGACCTAAACTACATAAACATGATGAGACAGTGTATGTAATACGTTCATCAAAGCTAAGGGTGGAGTCTACTTGAAGTCCCAGGTGTTGTACAGAGAAGGCTGTAGTAACTTCCTTTCCAAGTAGATCGAGAGACGTGAAAGTCTGCAGGTAGTCTCTGCAGCATTTGTCGGGTTTCCAGCACCATCAACTTGGTCTTGTCTGGGTTGATCAAAAGAATAATATAGCAGCACCAAGAAGCAGTCTTCAATAAATTATCATATTTAATTTGCTGCATGGACCACACTGCAAGTATCTTTGACAGAAAATGACAAATAGAGTCTCGAATTGTCAAAGTCTGATAATATTTCCAGAGAACCAAATTTCGGGATGTTGGGAAGGTCGTTCATGTAGATGGTGAATAGGGCCGGACCTAGGATGGAACCCTTTGGTACACCATGAGAAATAGCACCCAGACTTGAGGCCTCAGCACCGATCGTATTGTTGACGTCCCGACAAATAGCTTCCAAACCATTCCAGAGCGGTACAACCAACCCCCAGTGTCTTTAATTTTGCCAGAAGTCTACTATGGTCTAGACTGTCAAAAACGCCTTTGACAAGTCTAGGAGGAATACAAGTGTCAGTTTTTTTCACATCCATCACCTCAAGTGCCTTATCTGTCATCATAACATTGAGCGTTTCACATGAATGCAGCTTCTTGTTGCCACTCTGATGCTCGGTCACTGCCTCTCTTGGTCATGTACGTAGTCAATTGATTCAGAGCTACTCGTTAGTAAACCTTCGATGCAACTGGGAGTAGCGATACAGGGTGGTTATTGTTTGCAATCTCATGATCTCCTTCCTTAAGTAACGGGGTAACCTCTGAAATGTTCAAATGGGATGGAAAAACTGATGACAATAGGGACTGGTTCACGATGTCTGTAAGTACAGGCAAAATGCAAGGAAGTGAATCCTTAATCACTGACATAGTTATCTTGTCATGGCCAGGTGCCTTAGTGGATGAAAAAGACATTATAATCCTATGGATTTCATGAGCAGAGACTGTGTGAAATTGGAATTTATCTGCTTCACATGGTAAATTTGTTTAGGAACAAGTACGTTCTAGAATTAGTTCACAATCAAGGTATAGGTACACTAGAATTTTCCCTATTTATAGTCTCTTTCATTTTGCTTCACACAGGTTTTAAAATAACATGTCAAATAGTCCTTGTTTTGAAGCAATAATATATCCCTGTTAAATATAACTTCTGACTGTTGTTTTGCAGGCCCTTTTCCAACAGAAAATTCCCATAGGTTCACTGATTCCTGCAGGCATCTGGCAGATTATTCACCTCCCAAGGATGTAGGTATGGTCACATTTAAAGTGAATATTAATCCTATTAATATAAATCTAGACATCGGTAGCAGAGAGGCCCTGGTTGGGGGCAGGAAGGGTTCATAGCCCGTATTTTCATATTGAGCAACTTTCATTGTATAATCACAAGACTTTATCAGAACCAATCAAAATAGTCCACGCTAGTAAGTCTCAGGGGATTGCCCAACCTAGCACGTTTCGTATTAGATGTATAGCTATTTGAGTTCATTTGAACCAACGCTTTACTAGCAACAGCAATTATAGCATTTTTAAATAGCTTGTATTTTCGCTTTGATCATGTCACAAGAATCACCTCCGGAGAAAAGAGTTTCCAAATGTTCAGGCTGCGGAACCCCTCTTACTGACCACGCATGGGGAATTCCGAGCAAGTACTGCGAAGGCGAGGAGCTCAGTTCTCCGAAACACAAAAAATCCGCCACAATCGCTAGTCCGGACGAAGACGAGCAGATCAGAGATCTGGAGAGGGAGCTGGCAGAATTAGACCTTGAAGAAGAACGAAGAGAGAAACAGACTCGAATAGCTTTTCTCCAGAAACGGGTGGCCGACAAACGGGCAAAATTGGCTGCCGGCGACGTGACGACCGGCCGGCCGGAACACGAGTTGCCTCATGGCCCGTCCAACGTGAAAGATCTACGTACACTCCTTCCCAAGGACGCCTTACCAACGCCATTGGATGGTCTCCTCAATATAAATCCCAGCTCGAGCAGTGCTGCAGACCAAACCCAATCTTTATGGAGCATGCAAGGCCAGCTGCATGGTGATTTCCATACTGTTCCTGCAGGCTCCCAACCGGCCCCGATTCTTTCAAATTCCTGGCTGGAATCACGAGCGTCGGAGATGTTTCTGAGGCCAGCGCAACCACAAACCGGTGAGAAAGCCTTAAGGATTGTAGACTTTGTTGACAATATTGTCCCTAAAGATGAGGAGCGAACAATAGCAGATGGTGGAAACACCAAATTAGTTGTATCCTATGGGCCTAAAAAGCCCCGTTTAGAACAAATCACCATGTCCCAGTGGGTGATTAGCAATACCAGAATTTTTTATAACTTGTTAGCAAGTAGGAAACTAAACTCGCAAGCCGAGATCCAGAATTATTTAGCATATACTATTAAGGTGATGGAACTCTCCAACCGGTACCATTGGGCCTCGGTCCTTAAGTATGACGATGAATTTCGCCTCTTACAGGCAGCATATCATTATCCGGTCCCAAGGATGTAGGTATGGTTACATTTAAAGTAATAGTTATTTAAATGTGTCTATATCATCTGTAGGTATTTTTTGGTGTGATGCAAACTGTGTTTTCATAAGTTCTAGGTAGCTTCTTATTGATGTCCAATATTTTTTTATTTTCTGGAAAAGTTGTTTAATGAGTTTCAGCATGAGCTACATGCTACCAGCTCAGACTGACTCCCTACTTGGGACCATCATGCTCAAACATCTCATTTAAATGGTGTATTTTTTGTTTTTTTCTTTTTCGTGAAGTGATGTTTTATGTATGTTGTGGTTTAATATAGATTTTTATTTTCCCTTTGTTTTGGGGTGTGGTTACTGTAATGTATAGTAATAGGTAATTTCAAACACACCAAAATAAAATTCCAACCAAAAAAACATAACATATATTACAAAGAAGTAGCAGCGTGCTGCATTTAATAAACAAGAAATATCTTTTGTTAGCAATACTTCACCCCAGACAAAATTATTTTGACAGAAGGCACAGTCAAGTCTGGTAATTGTGCAGTGCCATTATCCACCCCCCTCAAGAAATGAAACGGAAGTTATGAGGGGAGTGGGGGCACAAGAGGAGACAATTTCCAAGGGGGATGGGGTGGCTTCTCAAGGTCTTTTTTTCTCAGGATCTGGGGGAAGATTAGAGTCTTCTAACAAGTTTGAACAGGAAGGGAGTAATTAAAGTTCTGAATCTAAGGTATGCATGCAAAAGGAAGGATCAATGAGCTGGCTTAAGGAAGACAAGTTCCAAGGCAAAAAGATCACTCACTGTTAAGTTTGAAGGCAACTAGTTCTTTTACTGATAACATCATTTGTGTATTGTTAAACATATATAAAGCCTCTGCATGTTTTTCAGTGGCTTAATTAGTGGCACAGTGTACTAGCAAAGAAAGACCTCTACACTATACGAAAGGATGGCTTTTCCAAATCTTCCAATTGGTAGGCATAAATGACAAGGCAAAACTGAAGAGGTCAGACATTAATGTTGGTGTCAAACACTGTATTATCCTGAACTGCAGTAATTGTTTCATACCTGCAGTTACTTACATATACAACCATTTATCAGTTGAAATGAAATTAAGTAAAGCGTTTTTATTGAAATATTCTCTCCAGGGGGTACCCAAACCTAGTGGGAAAATCATGGAAATTCCAGAGGGTAGGGAAGAGGGGTATGACAAGCACCCCCACCTCCCTCAAAGAAAAGTGCCCTCCATGGAGAGGGTATGGATGTTTACATGCATGAGAAACAAATACCCATGCAAAAGTGAATTTGTATCAAATGCCACATACAATTCATGTTGAAGGTGATCAGTTTCTCAGCTCTCAATATGCATGAGCTTGTTGAGACATGGTTGCCAGAACCGTAGTTTTTGAAACTCCCAGACTGACAATCAATCCCCTTGTCCAAATGACTGGACAACTTGTCTTTATAATGGCTTCCAAACCCCCATCACAGCCATCCTCTTCGCCCATTAATTACATGAATTTATCGTGAATGTAAAATACAGAATGGATTGATCTTATAGGAAACCCTATATCTGCTTGTAGTTTAATTTCTTCAAACAGTATTCTGCCAGTGGAACATAATTAATTTCAGTGAATGTCACCTCAATGCGTGTATCCGAGTGTCAATTTATTATTCTTAGAGTTTGAAAAAGGAAATTTTAGTTAATTTTTATTTTTGTTGAAAATTGAAAATAATTCTGGCAACCTATTTTTCAGAATTCATTTTTTCATTTTTTTTATAAAAATGAAGATGAAAATTTTTCGATTTCTTTTTTCAATTCTTCGAAAAGAAATGAAAATTTAACGAATTCATTTTTCAAGTTTCAAAAAAATTCAAAATGAAATTTTACGAATCCCAAAAAAGAAATTACGGAAAAAAATTGAACTTTTTCAAAGATCTAAAGAAGCCTGAAACTGACAATCTTTTAGGCAGGAAAAAGAAAAAGATGGCGACCTTAAGCGAGATTCTAGAACCACGATCATTGTCGAGCGGTTTCTCATTGAAGAGACCAACAGCTATGAAGATCTTGTCGAGGAAATTAAGAACCAGTTCCCTGGTGTAAGAGGCTGTAGTTTGCGAATTGTGAAGAGATTCTGCAGTCAGCACGGAATGAAGAAGCAAGTGCCAGTGTCCCTAGTTCAAATTCAACGCAACATAGCAGTACACAGCAGAAAATTAAAACAAATAGATTCCATGTTGCCGTTGGTCTGTTCAGTATTAGATCACAGAAGACGTCAAAATGTGGTAAAAACATCAGTGACACACTTGCTGCGGCTCGTGTGCCACTTCTTTGTTTTTACCACATTTTGGCGTCCTCTGTATACCTCTTATTAGCCGAGTTTTCGGTCCGTACTGTAAATTACGGACCGAGTTTTTTCCGTGGAAAAAAACGAGGATTCGTAATTTACAGTACAGACCGAAAAAACGAGGCTAATAAGATGTTTATTATATGGCTTCTTCCTGTTTGGGGGACCGGAAACAAGTGCAGGACGCACGATTTGACAGTCATTTGACAGGCGTCAAAAAAGAGAGATTTTATTGGCGCACGAAAACAATGGCACATAACAAAGGATTTCCGAGAAAGTAAAAACAAATTCGCCATGTTGAAAAAGCTTATTCGGTCAAAACTAAGAGTACTGTAAGTTTTAGCTCTTTAATGTAACGCTGGAGTATTTTGGAAACCGGACACTGTGTCTGTCTAGAAGTCGTTTCCATCTTTCCTCCGTTTGTCCTTGTGAAAAAAACACTGCAAAAGGCAAAGAAGCTTTTCAAGGTAAGTTTGTTGTCATTGTCGAAAGATTCGCTCGTTAATTGTTTTCGGGAAAACCTCTCTTTCTGCCAGTTCATTCTCGTCTTCAGTTGTGATCTGCGTTAAAATTTTCAAACACTGACTAGAATTCTCTTCCTCGGTAAGGTTACTATTTAGTTTCTACAACAGCTTCGTTAAGCTAGGTTAAAATTTGGAAAGGCAAAGTCAACATCCCAGTCCTCAGGGTTTACAGCCATATTTTGAAGTTTATTCAGTCGAAACTCTGAGCAGTTTAAGTATTCACTCGTTAATGTGACCCTGGAGTCTTTTGAAAACTGGACATATTTATTGTGTCTGGCTCGAACTCGCTTCTATCTTCTTTCGTTGGTCTTTGAAAAACCACTGCAAATGGCCTGCCTCGTACCCAGACGTCTCTCTTTTGATGAAAATGTGCGCGCAAAGGAAGGCGAGAAGGAGACAACGGGCCAGACGTCTGGCAGATCTTGTTTTCAAGATGGCGGTACCCTTCCCATGGTCCCTTGCGGTTCATCACCAGTCACTCGTTTCGCGCTCGCCTCTGCCATGCGAAAAACGAAGCGCCTGAGGAGGAGGGTGGCAAATGGCAAAGAAGCTTGTCAAGATGATCGGGTGCAGGTACGTTTGTTATCATATTTGTTGAATGAATTACTCATTTTCTCTTAGGCAAAACATCTCGAATCTCTGCCAGTCAATTTTCGTCTTCTTAACTGTGTACTACGATAAAATTTTCAAATACTGACTAGAATCCTCTTCGATAAAATTTACGAGTTAGTTTCTTCATCGCCTTCGTTCACAAATAAACACAGTTTAAAACGGTGAAGGCCAAAGTCAACATCCTTTTCCTCAAGGTTGACAAGCGTCTTATAACTACATTTAAACCTTTTTTTTCCGAGGTAAAGAGAATTAGAGCGCCGAAATGAGCATTTCCTTTAAAAGTTTTGGTCCGTATGGCAAGTTACGGACCGCAAATTGACCAATCCCATAGCGAAAACAGACTCAGCCATATAATAAGATCTGTTATTATTCATTCAAAATATTTCCCCGATTCTGACTGGCTAAAAGCACACGTTTAATTCACCATAACCAGTTACTGATGACCAAATTTGGAAGAATTTTGACTTTAACGAGGAAATGACGTCAAAAATGCAGCGTTTACTCAGCCTCATTCACGAACTGTTAACTACTGAACAGACGCACGGCAACTTGGAATATATTTTTAGATAGTACGCCATATTGCCTGGAATCCTAAGATCCTCGATCTTTTAAGATCTTAAAAGGTCTCTAATCTCTCTAATAAGTTTAGTGTGACGTTTAAGGGGTTAAAGGAAGTGGAAGGCGCTGCCTCTGCTGAAGAATCTTGCATGCTTATTGGATCAAGAAAACCAGTTTTTCTCTCACAACGGGCGTGGGCCCGTTTCTCGAAAGTCCCGATAATTAACTGGTCCCTGGTTGCATAAAACGCCCGTAACAATGACAGGTATACGTACGTGTACGCGTAACTCAAGTGAGTTGCATTAAATCACTTAAGTGGTCCACTTGGGGAATTCACTACAGAGGCTGCACTTTCGATTTTCGTAAGTGTTCACTCAAGTGTCGTTTAAGGGAAAAATAGCACGTAAATTTACGGGACCTATACACCATATTCACAAATGGCGGACACGCAGGAAAAAACTGGTGCCTAGTCATGAAAGCGAGGCGTTGGAGGATAAACAAAACTTGCAAATGAGAACTTTCAGTGAAACTTGCAGAGTGTTTAGCACGGATTCCACCTAAAATAACTTTGTACGGACTTCTTTTTAAATACAATTACGTGGGATGTCTTCTGCTTTTAATGTTTAGTAGCTATTTGCTGTTTGCAATCAAAAGGGACGCGTATATCTTCAAGGAAACAGGATGATTTTGTAGGTTTCCGAAGCATCAGAAGCTCGACAAGTGGATGATGGCTGGAGAAAAGCGGCAAACATGTTGGCCCAAACTTCACATTGAAACCGAGTACAAAAGCCAGCTCACTGCAATTCGGTGAAACAGAAATATAAACAAATCTTGGTGGCAAGAAAAAAAGGAATGAGCGACAGATATATGGCCTACTTGTTAACGCAAGAGACGTTTGCCGTTGAACAAAACAGTTCAAGTCGAGATGGAAAAATTAAAAAGGAAGACAGGAAAGAACAGGTGACTGAGGTTTCGAAGAAGTTATGTTTGGTTTTTGTTTGCCAGGACGTTATTCTCTGGTCTTTATCGATGAAGGACATCAGTTAGAACTATTTTTTTAGTATGAATGCAGGAGCGATCGAGTGGAGTACGCTCAAAATTTCAACTTGTTACTCGGCAGACTCGGTAAGCCGGACACATATCATTTCAGCGAGTAATTTCGTATTTCTTATCTTTGACTGTTAAGAGTTTTAACTTTATGTTCCATAATATTTTAAAGTTATAGAATACATAAATAAATAAAATGATGGTCTTCTTAAACGGATCCAGACTCGAATTTAATTATTCGAAACAGAAGCTTGCCGTGTTCAGCCATGACACAAACGTTGCCTTAAAAGTTTAACCTAGTAAAATGTAAGCTTTATACCACTTTTTTACCAAAAGCTCTCTGAGATAATGCCGAAAAGGAGACCAGGCAAATAGCAAGCCCTAAGATTCACACACTACAGCTTCTAATTTTTGATAAAATTATTTTTAATTATTTCGCAATGACAAGGAAATCATGAGATTTTTGCTAAGCTCTGCCAACGTACCTGATCGAACAATTCGCTCCAAAGCGACGGAATTAATATGATCCAAAGGCAGTTGTAAATACAGACATACATATGTACATAGGTATGTATAAAATGACACTGACATGAATGAATAAGCCTCGTGAATGAATCTTTCATCCGCCCTCGACTTGACCTGTTTTGTGTAATGGCGGAGGTCTCTTCCGTTGACAAGTAGGCCATATATCCGTCGCTTATTTCTCTTTTTCTCGCCACCAAGATTTGTTTTATTTCTGTCTTACAGAATTGTAGTGGTCTGGCTTTCGTATTCGGTTTCAGTGTGAAGTTTGGGCCAACATGTTTTCCGCTTTTCTCCAGTCATCGCCCACTTGTCGTGTCGAGCTTCTGATGCTTCGGAAACCTACAAAATCATCCTGTTTCCTTGAAGATATACGCGTCCCTTTTGATTGCAAAAAGCAAATCACTACTAAACATTGAAAACAGAAGACATCCCACGTAATTGTATTTGAAAAGAAGTCCGTATAAAGTTGTTTTAGGTGGAATCCGTGCTAAACACTCTGCAAGTTTCACTGAAAGTTTTCATTTGCAATTTTTGTTTATCCTCCAACGCCTCGCTTTCATGACTAGGCACCAGTTTTTTCCCGCGTGTCCGCCATTTGTGAATACGGTGTATGTAGGTCCCATATCCGTTAAGGGTACACTTACGGGTGTTGCAGGGAACGCTCTTAGGACTCTCGTAAGTTTCTGTTTTACGTGGTAACTTCAGGGCTCACTTAAAAGCATACGTAACTTCGTTATAGTACATTATTAATGAATCACTCTGGTGTTTTTAAGTTAACCATGGGTGAATGTAAAGGAAGTGTCCAGTCGTTGCGAACACTTTTAAGCTCCTCATTGAAATATAGTTTGCATGCAATCGTTATTTTACTTCAATATCTACTGGAAATGTTTGCTGTTCTTCTTTTTACATCAGAGGTTAACAAAGCGCATTGGAACGGAATTACGTCAAGAAAAAACTTTTTTCCTCACTTCTCAGTAAAAGATCTCGTTAACTTTGGTAAAAACAGTAAGGATACGGGACCTACATAGGTCCCGTAAATTTATGTACTATTTTTGCCGTGAAAACGTTTTACACAACTCCCGCAATTTACGTTGTATAAACGACACTAAAGTGAACACTTACGAAAATCGTAAGTGCAGCCACAGGCATTTATACAACCGGGCCCAGTGATCTCATACTTAACAAATGGTATCAAGCATATGAAGGTAATACAGGTGCCTGAATAGGTCGTCCTTTTACAAAGACGTCTATTTTTATATATCAATTTAGGCGCTAAGGACGCGTGGCAAGCATTTTTCCCCTTTCCTTGATGCCATGTGCTTGGCTTGTCCAGTCACCTAAGCTGTCTCGTGAAATGCCTTCAATCGCTTGTGCAGAAGACTAAAAATTAATGGTACCGTTCGTTTCGTCTTTTGGGATTTCTTAATAACCATTCTTGCCAAGACTCGTCACGACACGTACAACACAAGACGCTCGACACATAACCACACTTGCCTCAAACACTCTTCTTTCAAGTGAGTTTCTCCCACCCTTTGTACAAGCTAAGCTGCTTTTGCTAGGTGATTATAACTTTATTTAGAGACTAGTTAAGTCTTTGTAACAGACAAAAAAAACTTCAGTAACTTTTCGAGTCACTCTAGTATACTATAACTACAAATTAGAAATTACTATTATAATAATTATTACAATTACAATTATACTATTACTATAACTTTTTCCCGTTGCTTTAACCCTTTGGCAACCACGAGCCAACGAAACAAAAAGAATTTTTTAACCAGCTCCTCCTTTTGGGGCTGGTTAAACTAGAAGGCACATTGGTGTGCAACTCTGGCAGGATTGGTCAGAATTTTCAAAAATAAGGAACCTGTGCAAAGATCGATCCTTGCTAAATTAAACGTTTAACCTGAAAGCTAAACGGGTTTAGAAAAGAACATAGATCGTTTCATATGGAGCGCAAATTTTAAAGCAACCGTGAAAGGGTTAAAAGGAAGTTTTTCCTAAGACTTCAGAAATTCTCCGGACTAAAATGGTGTCTTTAAACTCATTTCTTGCAATAAAATGCAACGCTCAGGTGACGCTCCTTCGACACAATGGCGCAGTTTTGGCTCTCTATACTACTGCACTCAAAGCAAGCGTTTGTTCCCACAAGTCCGGTCCGAAGACATACAGAGCCCAAAAGCTATTAATTTCTTAAGTTCAGTTCTTATGCCACTTTTCTGTAAGTCGGTTGCAGCTTAGAGTATCTCAGCTTGTTTTGTGTAAAAAAGACCATTTTCCAAAAAAATGTAGTTTTTCAGACGGAGGAAGGAGCTTTGTTGTCTTCCTTGCAGCCGTTTTTAGGGGAGGAGCATTGCGTGACGCCACGAAAGACGGCTGCGAGGGAGACCAGGAGCTTTAAGACTATTTGGAAACAAATACAACGTATCTTTCTAACAGATCTTGTCCTACTGACCAGAGGTATCTAGCACTAAGCTAGTGTTCCGCAGTTTAAGAAAAAGTATGCGATTTTATATTTTATGACCTAAAAACAATGTACAACAACGGTATAACGTAAAAAACAAATAGGAAATTGGTGGGAAAGTTAATCAAAACAGCTTCTCTTTCTGCACCTATTCAGCCTAGCCCTTCTACAACCTACGTAGATGTAAAACCAGTATTTGTTCCTGTTGTAGCCTAGCAAACAACCAGAAACATTTAAGATAACAATTAAGCTGTAGGACTACGGCTTACCAGTTAAACGTGTGAATTACAGCTTAATACACATTCAGGGTTGACGCGTTCACTGTTGCTGGAAATAATTCCTTACAACTTTAACTAAGTCATTCCTCCCGATTCCCTCAAGGGCTTTGCAAAGCTGCCCCACGGTTAAGGGAGGATTTTTTTCAGCAAAGATCCACTGAAACAGAGTTTCAGTCGGGCTCTTGGGTTTTCCTGGCTCGCATTCGTTCTCCACTTCTTCTGGAACCTTAAATGCCTTTGCTAGGTACCTCCAGTTCTTCACTCCCGGGATTTGTTTGTTAAAAAGCACACAAATTTCCCTCATCAAATCACCGTGTAAGTCGATGGCTTTTTTCATAGGCTCATTTCTGCTAATTTGACTCTCTGCGTAATTAAATATAGAAATTGTATTTTAACTTTTAAAGAGTTAAAGAAAAAAATGAACAGCGGAAACACCTCCAGTTTAACAGAAATTATATGAGGCGCAATTCTAGATGTATCTAGGAGTGGGCTTATGCAACAGAGAACTTATTAAACAACTAGCGATCTCCGAAAAAATTGAGACTTAATTTTTTGGTGATGCATTTACTTATCTCGTTGAACGTTTTGAGTTTCAAATTCTCATCAGTTGGTACAATAAGAAACGTGTGAACAACTGAGAAGTTCATGTGTCTTGATGTTACGGTCAGAGTTAACAATGTTTATTATATAGGCACGAGTGTTTTACTGGAAAATATACCACTCGTAAAATTCATAACAACTACATCCGGGACCCGAGTGGTTTATTTTCCATAATCTCACACGTGAGTTTATCGATGACGTAATTTCGGTAATTTCCCTTCGAAATTTGAAGGCGTCTTGCGTCTTTTGAATTTCACTTCCACATTTTTCAAAGCGTTGCTTATATTTTGTTATTGTAGAGCCCTATTCAGCTCAGTGTTATTTCTCAAGATTATTGTAACCAATGTCATATTGCTGTATTGTAAATTTGAGCCGTCGCAATTACTTTTTGGCGAATAAAAATCTATTATTTTATCAATGTCTTTTTGTCTATATAATAAAAAGAACATTACACGGCGGCTTGAAGATATGAATTTTATTTTCTCGTGGCAAAAACAATATTTTACTCACTCGCTGCGCTCGTTCGTAAAATATTGTTTTGCCACTCGAAAATAAAATTCATATCTTCGCGCCACAGTGTAATATCCTCTATTTAATCCATTCCTCCAGGTAGAAAATTAATAATAAAACATTTCTATCGTAAACTAAAGGTTTATTTAACGTTTAGTACTAAAGAGTAGCAAAACTTTAAAATTCAACACACTTTTGTTTTGGGGAAAAATTAAAAGCTAATAAGCAATCAAAGAGAATGTAAAATCTGACCAGCAGTTTACAATGAGTTGTTTAAACTTTCAGAAATTAAACCAACACTAAAACGTTACTGCGAACAGTGGTTTCAGATTGAATGTATATGACCCTGCAGAGAAAGAAGATGTAGGAATGGGTGGTCTGCAAAACATAGGGGTACGGTAACAGGTTTCGTTAGGCAATGAGGGTACTTAGGATGATTTGAAATATGGAAAGGTACAGTAACCGTAAATGTGTCCGAAGTTTAGACTCATTTACTTATCTCCGTGTACCCTGTGAGGAAGCTCTCTCTGCCCAGAGATTGCCGAGGGGGTTTGTTCGCAGGCTAATCTCAATTTTTATCATGGGTCATCTCCTAACTCCCCATAGAAGGTCACTTACCCCGATCCCCATAGTGGGTGTTATGCATCTGGAGAGTCTGGACTATTCTTTATGACCCAAAAATCTTAATTTCAAGATTTAAGCCACAGACAAGATATTAACTTACCATGCATAAACTGGTCCAGTTTTTTAAGAACGTCTCTCCGCGTCGGCGCTTTAAAATTCTTTATCTTGTCATAAAAAGTTCCAACGGTCAGCTCTGGTATCGTAGTATAGAGGTACCCCATCAGGATTTGAGTAGGTTGACCGCCAATTTGAGCAGACTGTTCAATCTCCTCCAGTCTTAGTTGAGAAAGTCGAAACTGGTCACTACTACCCAGATTGCGCCAGTTCTTACTTACATCCGCCTTCTGATCCAACAACTCGGCCATCCGATAAACTAGTTCTCTGTTATTACTGTCAAATTCCCAGAAGTTCATTGTTCTCCAAGCAATATCTGTTGGGTGAAATGAAGTATGTAGGATTAATTGTTTACGATTTTCAACATAACAAGCGCTGTCTAAAACTTGAAGCTATTGAAAAAGTGATGTTATTAATGTGAAATTATACGCTCGGTCACACACGCCTCTTCTCATTAATAAATTACTTTTCATTTTTATAGCCTTTTACTGTAGGCGTCTTTTATTTGTTTTATCTCTTTTTAGTGGCGTGGGAAGCGAATAGTAGAAATCGCTCATGGCTGTGGCGCACGCGCAAGTCACAGGAGGCTGTGCCAAATGCCCACCCTGCAGATTGTACCATCTTTTTTCCCCGACTCTTCCCCTTTTTCAGAATAAAAGATGTCGACTACAGGAAATGCTGGACGCTCGCCCGAAAAATATGCTGGGTTTTTTTTTTTTTTAATTTTTTTTGTTTTTTACGTGCTAAAACATGCGGAAAGTAACCGGAAAGAAAAACATACTTGGATAAACTCTAATGCAATGATCTGTAATGATCGTCTTGACATCTCTTCTTTTAATTTCCTCCAGCGCATCTATCATATTTTCCAATGACTTTTCCGCAAATTCTGCTCTTAACACGTCAAACAGTAACAGGGTGCAACTCCCCTCAGTTCTTATTCTACATCTGAGCCGGACATGAAGAGGTGCGTTTATTTCAGGGATATTTGCCAGGTGTTCCCAATGTTTGACAACGTGATAGGCTGTCTTGTCAAGTCTAACAGCTAAGTCGTCTAGAAGAGATTTATCTTTTTCTGAAACTAAAGAATTGAATAACACAATAAAAGAAAATCAATTTCTTTATACACAGGATTAAAGTTTATCCCAGAAACGCGAGCGGGGACTTGTACATGCTAATTGCATCAAAACGTCATCTCTGAAGAAACAGATTTGTGAGATTCGCCAGAGACGTTGTTGTTTTCTTTACTTATGCATCCTGGAAACAGTAAGCTTGCTAAGAAAGAGACACAGTCAAAAGACGACGGACGATCACACGCAAAAAAAACAAAAGGTTGCTTTACAAAGAAATTGATGTCAAAGGACACATCCAATATATTTCACTTTTACTATCAGCAATTATTGAATGAAGCTGAGTATGATGAGAAAAATTAAGCAGATCGAGGAGGATGTTATACACCGAGGCTGAAGGCCGAGGTGGATACCATCCTCCGAGATCTGCATAATTCGTCACATTATAAGAAAGCCGAAACCAGCAATTGTTGAGTAAAAGTGACAAGATACAACAAAATATTTCTTAGTACTTAACAAAAACAGATGTTTTTTCTTGCAGATACTGCTCAAAAAGTAGATAACAACCATCGAGCAATACGTTTTGCGTATTCTTGCATTTCCTCCGTAATACGGTTCCGTTTTAGTAAAAATGCAGCTATTTCGTCTTCGGCTAGTCGTGAACGCCATTTGTTTTAGTTCACTATTGCTCAAGAAGCCTCGTTTCCAGGCAAAAGTACCATCGATTGACCTCGTTCCAATCAAGTATACCATGGAATCGATGGTATATTGCTCGCATCTTCAAAAAATGGTTAGAGCTAGTCGGTTATGAAGAATTAGCCGGGGGATTGGAGCCACTCGGAAACAGCGAAATATTTTAAATGAATTATCATCGCCTCACTTTATTTGATAAGCTCGTAATTTAATTCTTTGGAGGAAGCAATTCATGGGTTAAACAATACATGAAGTTCCCAAATCTTATCTACATTGGAGTGTGAAATGAAACAGGAAGGTATTCAATGACATTCGTTTCTGAGATTAAGGTGAACAAAAAAAACAGTCTTGTGTCCTGAAATCTGTGCCAAATCTCATGCTACATTGAAAACACCGACCTTTTTCGTTCAGTAAAACGAGAGCTCAAGTTACCTCACCTATGGGGGAGCAAAGTGTGTACAAAAATCACTTTTCCTATTCTCTATATTTGTGTTTGCATCAAAATTGACATATTTATTGTAACACGTTTAGCAGAGACTAGCAAATAAATCTGAACTGACTGGGGGGTTGCCATCAGTTTGGTGTAATTTCCGGGAGCAAGGGATGGCGCAGTGGTGAGAGCACTCGCCTCCCACCAATGTGGTCCAGGTTCAAATCTCGGCATCGATACCATATGCAGGGGTTTCAAAAAAAATTGAAGTAGGCAGTAGGTTTGAATAGAGTAACCGACTGTATCAACAAAGGGCAGTTAGTCCCTTTTTTTAGGGGAGGGGCGGGGAGGGGTCTTGGCGCGTTCTGCCTCAGAAAATTTTGAAAGTTCAGAGCCCGAAAATGCGATTTTCAGCGTTCTAGGGACTGAACTTGAGGACGAAAGAGCGTCTTTTTCATTGGAGAAAATGTAGCTGTCAATTTATCAGTCACACCATCAGGTCCTTCAAGCAATGAACAAATGATGAAAACTAAATTACCTACTTTTGCACGTAAACAAATTCGACGTAAACCTATAAAGAAACTTGTGAAAAAATGGCTGAAATAGAAATATAGCGTTCACATGACTAAAGCATAACGTAAAACCACTGGGCCTTTATGGAAACACATCATAATTACGTTTTCATGCAGATTTTGTGATATATTTTTTGTTTACAACGTTATTCAGACTAGTTGCTTCTTTTTTCCAGAAAAAAAGTAGCCGACCTCAATGAGCAAGGTAGCCGACGCGTTTCGTCGGCCGTCGGTGCTTATTGAAAGCCCTAAATATGTGGGTTGATTTTGTTGTTGGTTCTCTCCTTTGCTCCGAGGGGTTTTTCTCCGGGTATTCAGGTTTTTCCCTCTCCTTAAAAACCAACCACGGATCAGGTAGACGAAGAACCACTTTGTGGATGTGCTTCCTCTAAATCACTATTACATTTATTTATTTATATATTTTTATTTGATGAAGGAGGCTCACTGGGTCTTGAAAGAAAGGGTTCTTTTGTTGGTTCATTTCAATAAAAAGGCTACAACAACAATCTTCACAAACATAAACTGTCGTTATGTTGAGCTTCACTCGGTTTTTGAAAGAGGGGGAGTTCACTGAAGGAGCCTTAAAGCGAGCATGGTGACCTCCCCCTCTTTCTATACGTTTTTTACAATTGCCTTCTTGATTTGTTACAACAATGTACCAAGTTTCAGCAGAAATGAATGACAGGTTCAGTTTGTATAATTGTAACTCCGCAGAAATCCCATACGATAAGACTGCGACGTACTCTGTGCACAATTTCAGGGAAAGAAGTTTCGAAATACTCGATGCAAAATCCCCAATGACTATACTGCCAGAAAGTAATAAGAGTAATAAGATTGCTCTCTTAGCTAATCTGCTTATACATTAGTTTTATGGACTGACATTTTCACATTACTGAAAATTTGCGTCCTGGCAATGAAGGACTAAAGATGGGGAATCAACTTAAGCTGTCGGTTACAATAAAAAGAACGGCTGGAAGAATTAGGCATCGGGGGGTGCTACAACGGCGTAATTGTAATCGGTTTCTTTTTTTAACATTCGGCAGTTTTATTTCTCGATCAACGAATCTAAAACCACTCACCAGGTACGTTTTCATAGCTTTGATTCCCAGTAGATGTTTCTGTACTGTTTGACAGATCTTGAGGTGGACCACCAACAACTGTAACAAATACATGTCAAGTACACAATGTTATCGACTGCATATGACCTTCCCTCGCCTCCCGGACGCGAAGTTTGCTTAGGGGTGTGTCCCCCTGACGCTGGTTAAGACTAAATCCGATCACCTCGCTAAACAGAGACATCTTGAAAATTTCTTTTTGATGTGGAATGAGCCTCTTTAAGCTATAGACATGGATCAACTCTAGACCGCTCATGACCAAGGTCTGAATACATTATAATCCATGTTTGTACAATAATTGAGTATGCAACCTGCGAAATGCTCATCAGCAAAACATACTAACCAAAAACAAGATTCTAATTCACAACCAAGAAGCCATATACTCAGTTGAACATTAATCTACCCATGATCTTTCCAGCTAACCAAGTACACTGTACAGCGTAATTGAGAACTAAAAATATTATACTAATTACCCTAATATATGTACAGACTCTGTGCGCGACTTGAAATAAACATTTTAATCATTCTATCCATCAAGGTAAAGTGCATTTCTCAATTTCTAGAGGAGCTTCTGATTGGTCGAGCCATGTGGGAAATTTGCTACAGCCAATCAGAAGCACTATCTAGATCTGGATAGTGACACGTCATCACTATGGAATTTCTGCGCTCGTTTCTCAGACGTCATTTTGCGGGGAAACCAGCGGTGGCGTCGCCAGATGGCCAAGTGAGAGCTGTTTTCTCTGGTTACCTACTTTTAAGAACAAATGTTCATAGCTATTACCTGTTTCTCCTGGATGATCTCTTTCTTCACCTGTCCTGGTATGTCCATCATCTTGATCCACACGGACAGGAACCCTTGCATCACCGTCTTCATCATCAGGACCATTAGATGAAGGAGATAATCCACTGGCTGGTGGAGCACCACGATTACTACCATTGGCATCAGCAGTTTGTTGCCGATTCGCTGTAGCTGGGAAAGAAAAGACAGTAATATTATTCAGAGACAAATTGATATTTTTAGTGAGGCAAATATTAGAGACTGAGTGATTATCCTCTTAGCTTCTACACCATTGCTTTAACATTATTCAAATAGAACCGGTCACCATCATTGTGAAATGTTTTTCGTGGCATGTCTGTAAAGTGGCTAATTAGCTAAGAACATTGACCGCTTTAAATGAAGGTTATTGTATTGTATCATTTAACTTTCTTTTAAACCTTTACCCGCCGACAAATGAAGAAAATAAAATACAAAAATAACTCTGAAAAACATCTTGCTAAGTTAAAATATAAGTATAAGCAAGAAATTACACAAAATAAATAAAAGTAACATTTCGGTTCTTATTTCAAGACCATTATCAAACGTGATGGAAAAGAGCTGAACTTAAAAGGAGAGCTAGCCAGAAAGGTGTGACTGAATATTAACAAACTAATAATTGTGACAAGAATGTGGAGGAAAGTATGACAAAAATGCTAAAATTCAAAAGTAAACCTAAAGCTAAAACAATACAAGCTCTTTGGCAGCTTTAATGCCATAGTTAAGTTGAGGTATGTACCTTGTTGCATGCAATAATTGTTGCGTTATTCAAAATAGTCTGGTGAACGCGAGAAGTGAAATTAGCCACATCAGCTTTGTTGTTAAAACAACCAGGCAAATTATTCAGAGAAAACAAAACTTAAATGCCTCGCAGCTGTGTAAGTGTTGGAACATTGCAGAGTTATGGTCAGAGCTGTATTCATCTAATCTTACTCTGAGACATCTATCAGTCTTGCCTATGTATTCAGCATTACAAGCGGAACAAGTCAGTTTGTAAATCACATGAGATTTAAGATACATAGGGTTTGGATCTTTGTTCGAGCAAAATGATGAAAGTTTCTTAGTTTGATAGAAAGTTTTAAAACAAACAGGTTCCTTAAAACAACGCTTTAATTTCCCCACTAGTCTGTTTACGATTGACTCTCCAATGTGGCCTGCATAAGGCAGTCGAAACCAAATTATCTTGCTAGTATCATTGTTGGATGATCTTGGCTCAGAGCCACTACACATGAACAACGTTTAATGAGGTTAGACGGAACAGATCTAGGAAAACCATTCCAAGACAGGAAAGTTTTGATCACTGATATTTGTTTCTGAAACCGAGAGTCGTTATCACTAATGTGAGAAGCCATGGTTCATAACTGGTGAACGAGACATACTGGCCAGTGTAGTAGTTCTGTCAAGACATGAACACTGGCCAGTATGTGTCTTTCACCAGTGGCACGCTTTCTTTTAACGTTCCGTAGTTTTATTCTAATACTTGGCTTGTGGACGGCCTTGCTTCAAAAGCAAGACGTAAATTCAGTTTATAACAACTTAAGCCGTCATGGAAGATGTAAATGGCAGGGATTTTACGATTTACGGTGGATTTTTGGTCATCTCTACTACATGAATTTTCGAGCTGCAATGAAGCGTATTTATGCTAATTCGAACTCAGAAGTTACCTTTCTGGCTTTTCAAGCTACGAAACATGGAACTGTTACTCTGGTTCTTCCTGCAAGAATCTTTTGGACAGACCTTACAATCCACATGGATGTCAAGGCAAATCCTGGACCAGGAATTGATAAAGTCAACGTTACACTGTGGAAACCTAGTTCGATTCGATCACAATTTAAATCTAGCGCCGCTGTTTTAATTATTCAAGGACTCAAATATTGAGCCTAAGATCTAAATATCAGATCTCAGAGGAGCTTTATCATTTCCTGAAGGATCATAAAATATTAAGGACCAGTGGAATTCGAGGTGGAATATCTGCACGTCAGAGGTACAACCAAATTTCCATCCTCAGTCGAGGTTCTTTTAGGCGTAATTATTCATCCAGAGGTGTAAATGAGAATAATTTACGCTTCATCGAATGAGTAAATCAAAGGCCTGCAGAACAACCTAGTACATCGAAATTCTTGAAGTCCAAACTCCAAATTGCGCATCTAAACGTAAGATCAGTAAAGGAGAAGAATCATTTAATTCAGCTCAGAGAACTTATGCGCGAAAAGAATTACGATCTCCTCGCTATTTCTGAGTCATGGCTTAATTCAACAACTACAAATGCAGAGACCGAGATAGCAGGATATAAAATCACTAGATTGGATAGAACAAAGACAGTTGGGGGTGGTGTGTGCGTCTACACCAGATCGTCACTTAAAGTAAAATGTCTTAAGGAAATGAGTGTCACTTCTGAAACGGGATTCCAGCAGTTGTGGGTACAAATTCAGCTAAAGAAGCTAAGATCCATCGTGCTCTGTGTAGCGTATCGACCCCATTATTGTCCGGTGTCCTGTTTTGTTGATGACTTTATGGACAAGTATTCTCAAGCGCTTACATTAGGGAAAAACATCATCGTCGCTGCTGACCTGAACTGTGATATGTTGAAACCGCGTTCCCCGGAAGCTGTAGCTTTAAAGGACCTGTGCGACAGCGTGAGTCTGACGCAGTTGATCAAGGAGCCGACTCGCGTGACTGAAACTTCGTCCACCCTTATCGACGTGATTATGACCTCCAGTACCGACCTTGTGGAGAGGAGTGATGTACTGAAATCTCACATCAATGACCATTATCGGGTGTATGCCTTTTTAAAGCTGAAAAACTCCAAACCCCCTCCTAGCTATGTGAAAGTCAGATCTTACAAGAACTATGACAGCCAGTGTTTTGTCTCTGATCTCGAGCGTGTACCATGGAATGAAGTTGTCCTTGTTGACGACGCGAGTGATATGGCTGATCGATCTAACAAGCGATTTCTTGAGGTCCTAGATGGCCATGCGCCTGTTAAGTCAGTGAAAGTCAAGCACCGCCACTGTCCATTTGTCAATGAGGAGATCAAAGAGCTGATGCGAGATAGAGATAGATTATTGAAGCGCGCTCGTTGCACCGGGCTTCCTGTGGACTGGGAACTGTACCGTAACTCCAGGCAAGTGATTAAGATCAGGCTACGGAAGGCGGAACAAGAATACATAAATAAAGAGATGGAAGGATGTCAGAATACTAGTTCTCAGTGGAAATTGATAAGGAATTGTCTGCCGAGAAAGGAGGCTACGCAGCAAGTGTACACGAGGGAAGTTAAGGCGGTCGCAGAGGAGTTAAACGAGTTTTTTGTATCTGTTGGCGCTAAAGCATCAGAGGCATCTAAAGCCTTAATTGCTACTCATGAACTGTCTCCGACAAATGATTTCACTAGTGGACAATATATTCCGGATGAGGAGAAGTTTAATTTTCGCGCTGTTTCAAGTCACGAGATTCGTAGAGCCGTAATGTCATTTTGATCTAACAAAGCCCCGGGGTTTGATAAAGTCACCATGTCTGTGTTTAAAGATGCGCTCCCTTGCATTCTGCCTGTGCTGACGGACATTGTGAATCGATCCTTATTGTCGTCAGTTTTTCCCGCAGCGTGGAAAATATCTGAAGTCATCCCACTTCTAAAAGATGGAGATCATGAGATACCAAACAACAATCGACCAGTCTCGTTGCTTCCTGCTGCGTCAAAGATTTGTGCGCGTGTTGCTCTGAATCAATTAATGACATATATGACCACCAAAAAGCGCCTCAACGAACACCAAAGTGGTAACAAGAAGCTTCATTTGTGTGAAACCCTTAACGTCATGATCACGGACAAAGCACTGGAGGCTATGGATGCAAAGAAAGTCACACTTGTGGTACTTCTGGACTTGTCGAAAGCATTCGACAGCATAGATCATGTAACCCTCCTTGCAAAGCTACAGGCGCTAGGTGTTTCCCGTGCATCTCTGGATTGGTTCAAGAGCTGCCTTTCTGAACGGCTGCAATGTGTCAGGATCGAAGCTGAGACCTCAAGCTTGCAGGGTATCTCACATGGAGTCCCACATGGTTAAATCTTGGGGCCCGCCTTGTTTACTATCTACCTCAACAACATTCCTTCTATACCGGACGTGTGTTCTCTAAAATCATATGTCGATGATTCAAAGCTATACCTTTCGTTCCCAGTTGCTGAGGCTAGTACGTAATATGATTCAACAGATCAATAAGGACTTAGAAAAAATCGCAAGCTGGTGCTGCTACAACAGCCTTCTCATAAACCCAGAGAAAACCAAGCTGCTGGTGTTGGGCACACGTCAGATGCTTCAGAGGCTGCCCGCTGATTTTCATGTCAATCTCCTTGGAAAGAAGGTCACTCCATCTCCTTCTGCTCGGGACCTTGGCCTGCAGGTGGACAGCACTCTAAGCTATGATGAACATGTCACCCAAACAATCCAAATGACTTTCCTCCGCTCTCCTCGCGTTATCCGCTGTCCAAGTTATCCGTGAATAAAAAAATGACTCAATTAAGATGGAGTCCTTGGTTCAATAATTTTTTGAGAATTTCTGGATGATTCTTCGAATCTTTTTAATGTATAAAAATTAGGGAGGATGTTAAAAATGTTGGAAAAGATGGAAAATATTGGATTTGGGGGTTGTTAGAAATTAAAATATGAAGTGAATAATCAGAAGAAAAATTAATACTAGAGACTCCAACAACGAGTGCCTCTGATCCCATTAGCGGACTAACTGCTTTATGTGCATACCTTTTCTACTCTTATTTATTTCTTTCCCAAATCACTATCATTTTCCCCGAAAAAACAACGAGAATGCCCCCTTAACAAGCGATTTTCAAGGACCCTCTATACTAATGAGCCCAGACAACCGAGCTGGCTCGGTTTCCTAGACCTAGACATATTCAGTTTCGATATATAACAAACTTCTGTAAAGTATTAGTCAGAAGTGTGATATGTTAGCGCACATAGAATGTTTGTAGCCTATTTGCCAAACGTAATCGATCGTGGAACTGCGTTTCAGTTCAGTGAAAATCAAACAGCTACGCCCGTTTGGAAGGTTTTATCTTTTACGTGTCTCAACGTCGAAAAGAAACCCTAAACGAATGCAGCTGTCTCTAATTGTTGGAATTGCCTTCAGCTCCTGATACATTTCAGATTTGCCGATTTCCGGATGATCCGTATTTCCGGTTTTCCGTATTTCCGCGTTTCAACATTTCCGGTTTACGTGTCAACCTGCATTTGACCTTGCAGAGCCGGTTGAATAGAAGGTTTATTCGAGGTTGTAGCTCTGAAATCTCAATTTTCTGATCCAAATTGAGACCTTCCCAGTTAATTTTCTGATTCTCGAGCAAACTTTCACCTCTGAACGGTTGTTTTACCGAGCTATTTAGCTCGAAACGTGACACAGTTTCACCTGTTTTGATCTTCGGATTGTTAGCTTGGGATTCAAAAATGGCCGCATACCAGCAGTTTCTAAAGCACATCTTACTGGAATTTTATGGAGTCCGGCATCTCAGGGATTGGAATATGGCTCAATTTGTGAGTCAGTGCCAGTAATGAATCAGGTAAGCCGTAGTTTTGACAAAATTTGCTTGAGATAGATCCGTTATGCTAAATCTGAAACTATCGTATTAGCTCGCATACGCGTTAATACAAACGGTCATAACTTTTAAAATACTGAAAACGTACATGGGGTTTTGTATATTATTAATAACAGGTGGTCTATCTTTGCGTCTATTTAGTCTAGAGCTTTCAACTATGTCCCAAAAGTCAGAAATAAGCTTTTAAAACAGGGTCATTTTTAGCCTTTCGCTCTAAGGCAGTTAGTTGGGGTCATATTTTGCTTGATTTCGTCTTTCCAGCTAAATTTAGCGGATAACTATTACTTTCAGGAAAAACTAAAGATGTTTACCTATAAATAGGTGTAAAATTCATTGTTAGATGTTGCAAATCAAACATTTTATAGCGCCGCAAAAAATGTCAAATTTTCAGTTTTCAAGACGTGCAAAATGGCCGTGGCGGGACAAAATACTCGGCGCCCCCCAGCGCGGCCAGAAAATTATTGTGAATCAAAGCAAACCTATTTTAGTTGTAGTCTCGATAAAGCCTTTCACTCGCCAGAGTTTCAGGCAAAATTATTTTTTCACGCGAAATTGAGTGTGCGGTTTTTACTGAGACAGCCTCTTAAGCCCTCAACACCTTTCAACCTTTACCAGAAGCTCCAACAAAACGTCCATCGATTTTGGTTCCTTAAAAAACCAAACCGTCGTGTCATCCGCATACTGCGTAATATTTATTTCTCGGGATCCCACTGCGATGTCTTCGATCTTTGAGTTTTTATTTTGTTATATTGTAAGTGCTAGTATTTCAATACCTAAAACGAAAGCATACCTGACAGAGGGCATTCCTGTCGGACTCCTAGCTCCATATTAAAGTTGTGTGGTGTTTTCGCTTTACTGACGTAATTTCCCTTAATGGAGGCTGGGAGAAAAAGTTTGTTGCCATTGTTGTGCACTGGAAGTTTTGCTTAATAATAGGCCTAAAAGCGCAGCTTTTTTGTTTAATAGGCAAAATTAATTTGCTTTGCGAGTTTTTGCTTATTAAACAATAAAAATTAATACATGTACCTTTTTTTTTTCAATAAACAAAGTCTACAAGTCAAACTGGTTCAATAAAAAAAAATGCAGGGCCTTTTTTGTTTGATACCCCTATTCTGGGAACATTCTCACAGTCCGGAAACAATCTGACTCCTGTTATTTTTCAATATTAAGCTGCATTTGATCAGCTAGCGTACTATATACAATCTCTGAATTGCATGTCCATAATGAAAACCTCTAAAGTTGTGTATAGGCTTAGAAGTAACTCACCTTGTAAGGGTCTGTTCTCCTCACTGTTAAGGTCTGGTGCGAGTTTTCCAAGAAATAGATCTAATATTTCATCCCGTGATACTGCTACATGAATTATTGTCACAACACACAAGAAAATGGATCCCGAAAAGATCCCAACAATAAAACCGTTGAGGTTTGATTTCTCTTTGTATCGTAAGTCGTTGCATGTAATGTTAACCGCCGCTTGGTTGCAACTATACTCCGCAGGATATTTAAGTTTCTGGCAAAGACAGAACAGTACAATCATGACAACTAAAAGGAGAGACTGATAGCAGATGTTAACAATAAACCGGCATTTAAGTTGTTTCTTGAACGTTCGTTGCCTCTCTGTATTTCTCGCTTTACGGATACGTCGTATCATTACGGCAGCATTAAGAGTAAAAAGCACCCAGCCAACCCCTGATAAACCAAAGCTAAGACGAGCAAAGTCCAACGGTGTTAAGCATGGGCTCATGGCAGAAGTGTAATTTCCATAACAACGCTGTCTTTCGTATTCAGTTTGTTTGGGCATGCAGTTGAATTGCAGCCTGTCTTTGCCCTCGTAGTCCTTCAGTTCATTAATCACATAGGACCAGGAACTCACAGAGAATAATAAAAGACAGCCACTCCACATGGTCTGAGACGTAAATGCAATTTTGAAACAATCCATCACAAAGAAATCAAAATCTGAAAGAAACAAAGAATATGGGAAGGTTAGAACCATGGGTAAGATAATTTCGTTATCTCTGCATCCAAGAAACTGACCCAGTGAAAACAAAAGTATGTAAAATTGTGCATCAAAATGCTTTCAATTGATTGAATAGACCTTCTCACGGTTTTTGAACTTGACGAGTACGCAACCGCGTGCGAAATAACAGTGTTTGTATTATGAGAATCTAATGTCGAATAATTTCCGTAAAACGCCTGTGGTGAAACGAACTATGAACTGTAAGCTAAAGCAATTACCCCCTAAAGTATTAGAGGAAATTTATTTTAAATCCATTATACCAGCAGTGATATATGGTATAGTTGTGTGGGGGAATTGTAGTTCTGCTATGCTCAACTCCTTGAATCCTATACATGAAAGAGCAGCTAGATTAATTCACGATCAAGATGATCTTCCAGCCAAAAGAGGAGCCACCTCCAACTCCATCTCCTGCTCAACTTCCGTTACCATCCTCCAGTGCCAGTCACTCCGCATCCGTCCAGGTAGACCCAGAAAGCATCCAACCTGAGACTGTCGGAGCCAAGTTTCAATCTCGGCTCAGCGAGTATGACTCCGTCTCTGACCCTCAGTTCGTAGCTTACAATGGTGCTGCTTGCCCTTACCAAGCAAAGGACAACATGGGCCCCGTCGAGCCCCAACAGCAGGAAGGCTGCCTCCCCCATTATGCACGCGATAAGCTCATAGATATTCAAGAGAAGTTTGAATACCTAGAGAAGCTCGGCATCTTCCAACGGCCTGAAGATGTTGGCATCACTGTAGCATACCTGAACCCTTCCTTCCTTGTAAAGAAGCCCATCGGCGGTTCTCGTCTTGTCACTGCCTTCGCTGACGTAGGCAGGTACAGTAGACCTCAACCATCTTTGATGTCTGACGTTGACTCCACCCTGCCACGCATCGCCCAGTGGTCACATATCATCATCACTGACCTTGCAAGTGCCTTTTCCCAAATTCCTTTGGCCAAAGAGTCCATGAAGTATTGCGGTGTTGCCACCCCTTTTAAAGGGGTACGAGTCTACGCTTGTTCCGCTATGGGTATGCCCGGTTCGGAAACTGCCCTCTAAGAGGTTATGTGCCACGTCCTAGGCCCACTACTTCAAGATGGATCCGTAGCCAAAATCACTGATGATCTGTACTGCAGTGGCAACACACCCCAAGAGCTACTCCACAACTGGAAGAGGCTACTACAAGCCCTACACAAGTGCAACCTTCGTTTGTCTGCGCTCAAGACTATCATCAGCCCCAAAACTACCACTATTCTTGGCTGGATCTACACTGCTGGCTCCCTTTCCGCCAGTCCCCACCATCTAAACACCCTTGCCACGTACCCTGAGCCAAGCACTGTTGGCTGATTGAGATCTTTCGTTGGCGCTTACAAAGTCCTTTCCCGTGTCATTCCAAGGTGCTCAAATTACCTTGCCCCCCTGGATGCTGTAACAGCTTGTCGTTCTTCTTAGGAATCCATTAGCTGGACCGATGACCAAAGGGCCACATTCCATAGTGCTCAGAACGCTCTTTTATCTGCGCTCACAATCACGTTACCCGGGACCAGCTATGGATTGTAAATGACGGAGCAATCAGGGACCCAGAAATAGGTGCCACCCTTATGTGACACGCGGAGATAAGTCACATGTCTCCAGTTTCTTCAGCGTTAAGTTACGGGACTCCCAAACAATGTGGCTTTCATGCAAGATTGAAGCCCACTCCATTGCTGCTGCTACGAAGCACGACAGCCCATATCTTATTCAGTCAACTAAGAAGGTCTGCATTCTTACTGACAGCAAGCCTTGCATCCAGGCTCATGAGAAGCTCTGCCGAGGGGAGTTCTCTGCCAGCCCTAGTGTATCCACTTTCTTGTCTGTTTTGAGCCGCTATGAAGCTTCATTCAGGCACACCTCTGGCGCTGCTATCCTCCTGTCAAACTTTGCAAGCCGTAACGCCACCGCCTGTGAAATCCAGACCTGCCAGGTGTGCTCCTTCACTCTTGAAGCAGGGACTCTGATGTTCGTGCCATTTCCATTCAAGATATCCTCGAGGTTAACGTCTGCCTCCCCTTTACCTGCCGACCCGCTTGGTTGGGTGTCCAGTCTGAGTGCCCAGATCTACGCCGCACACATGCTCACCTCATCCAGGGTACAAGACCTTCCAAAAGACGAACCAGCATCAAGGACATCAAACGCTATTTACAAGTTGCGTCAGTTGCCGATGATGGCCTCCTTGTTGTACAGTGTCACAAACCCTTATCCCCACCAAGAGAGTGCATTATTGTCCCACGCCAAGCTTTGGATGACTTTTTGACTGCTCTCCACATAAAGCCCAGCCACCCGTCCTGTCATTAGTTGATGATGGTCTACAAGCGCCAGTATATACACCCTCAATCTGGACAAGGCCGTCTGTCATGTCTCTGATGGATGCCACCCCTGTGCAGAAATCCGGAACTCTCTAACTGCACGAGTTGACCAGTCCACCTCCCCACCACCTGACGTTATTGGTCGGTCCTTTGCCACAGATGTCATGAAAAGCTCTCGCCAGCTAATCTTTGTCCTCCGTGAGTCTGAGACTTCTTACACTTCCAGTTTACCTCTCGAAGATGAGGGTCACCAAACGTTACTCGATGCTATTGTAAAGCTCTGCTTGAAAATGCGCCTCATGGATAGTCCGCCTCCCGTGATCCGTACTGACCCTGCCCCTGGATTTAAAGCTCTCATCAACGACCCACTCTTAAAGAAGCATAGAATTACCAGTGCGCTTGGCCAAGCCAAACGTCCCAACAAGAACCCCGTTGCTGAGAGAGCAGTTCAAGAGTTGGAAAGAGAGCTACTTCGTCAGGAGCCTCTAGGTGGGGCTGTCTCTCCCCTCACTCTCACTGTAATCACTTCTGCCTTGAACTCCCTTATCCGTTCATGCCGCCTATCCTTGCGAGAAATGTGGACACAGCGTGACCAGTTTTCAAACAAGTAGTTACCTCTCATGGACGATCAGTTAATTGCCCTCCAGCACAAGCAGCACCTATCCAACCATCCCCACAGTGAGCAGTCCAAAGCACCCCTGCGGCAAAGGTATCCTAGCCCTACTCCTCTACTTGATGTCAGTGACCTAGTATACCTTCATTACTTCGGCGGAGCGCGAAGTAAAGGATTCGCGACGCTCAGGAATGTATCAAAGTTACAATTTTTTGGCAAGATTGGGCAAGCAAAGTCTGTAGGTTTTCGGTTCTATTCGGCTATTTGAAGAAATGCGAGCCGAATTAGTTCGAGATATCTCGAGATCACTTCGATTTCTTTGATTTATTCTTTAACTTTTTCGAGGAAGAAAGAATTATTATTTTGGCTCTCCCGTGGTTTGAACCGACTCACCTGTGTGACCTGTCAGATTCGAGGAGACTCTAAGTTGAGGGATTAGCCGATTGCGCTACTGCGACCCAAGGTTGTTTGGGATATGAAAAATAGTTATGAAATGATGCACTAGTTTCGGGCCAAGATTGGGCGTGCAAGTTCGTGACTTTTCGGCTTGTTTCAGCTATTTCCCGAAATGAGACCGGACTACCTCGTGTTATCTCGAGATCACTTCGAGTTTAGTCTTTAATTACTCGAGGAATAAATAGAGGATATTTCGTGGCCGCGCAGAGACACGAAATTTCTCTTCGAGTGTTGAAAAACATTTCACGAGTGAGCCCTCCTTTCGAACTGTTTTATGATGAATTTAAAGTTGCAAAATGCTGCCCAAAGACATTTTGTCTTTGTTGAGTGTTACGTGGTAAAATTGCTTTCATGCGTTGCGTGACTTTCTCGAACGTTCTCTACGTTTTTGGATTATTCATGAATAATTAATTAGGGCATGTTTATATTTCAGCATGACTCAGCAGATTTGCGTCAGTTACTGAAATCATAAAATATGTCGAAAAGCTACTACTATTCGCCTGTTTGGTATTTTCTAGAACCTTATGTCAAACGGTATACAAGTTCCAAGCGAGTTCTTTTGACGAACTAAGTTTTTTCCCACGAGCTGGACTGCTGTGTTTAGTCAAGTGTGACGAAGGTCGATTTTTAGGTTCTGTGTTTACAAGTTCGCGGAAGCCGCAAGATATCTGAAGTTCAAGTGAGAGTTTGTTATTATTGGTAGAGGCTGTTTAGTTTTACTCAAAATTCAAGTCAAGTTTGTGTTGGCGGATGCTGTGTTTTAAAGCTCTGTAAAGGCTATGTTCCTTTGGTGTTAAACTTCCTTGTGTTAATCCAACATCCCTGCGTGCTGATAGTCAGTGAATAATTATCCTCAAAACATTCGAAGTCGTGACTTTGAGTTTTAGCTAATTCTATGCTCAACGTAATTGATTCCTTACCCATGCCTTACATATCTTTAATCAGTACATGAGACTGCTATGCTGTTTTTGAAGCCTGATGTGACTAACAAAAATAGAGAATTGTTTTTTTAGAAGGATTTGTATGGAGTCATCAGAGCATAACTGGGCTAATATCTGGGGGACAATTTGTCCCGAAATGTTAGTTTTTGGCAAGTAGGCCTCTTGGATGTTGCTCTTTTCAGAATATCCTGACAAATCCCATAATTTCACAATAAACACCTTACTCTTACCATATTTGATTTCTTACTATTCCTCCGCATTTACAATTAATTAGTTCCACAACCACGACGCCGAAGTGTACGCTCCGTAGCGTGTTGTTCCGATCAAAACAAGTCTCGAGCCTGGGACCGCTACCTTGTTGTAGCCATAGAACCTCCATTCTGCGACATGAAAAAGGTCATCGGTTCTCAGTTACACAGCTCATCATACCATGTCAAGCTCTCTGAGTGTTTCAAGGTCCCGTCAGACTTGGCTGACCCCTTACATGTCCCTCGCCCTTGTCGTGGACACGACTCTGATGATGAAGACGATCCTGAGACATCTCACCCTCCACCCCTCTGCCTGAGATCCCCGATGCCATTTCTGCTTCACCCAGTCAGCTAGCTAGCATTTCTCCATGTACTATACCACCAGCAGCTGCCTTTCCCGCTGACCATATTATCGAGGACACAGCTTCCCACCCAACATGCCAAGAGGACACCTCTTTGGAGACAGCGGTCACTTCAGCAGACCCACCTCCTTCAGGCCTACAGAGATCCTCTCGCATCAGACGTCCTACTACGCGTTTTGTAGATTTTGACGCTGATCTGTAACTTTTTCGTGTTAAGTTAGGTTTCTTTTTTCATGCTTTCCATTACGTTGTTGGTTCCAGTTTTCTTGCTTACTATGCCCCTTATGGCGCTCTATGTATACACAGCCCATAAGACATAAGAAAAAAGTCACGCCAGTACCGGTCAGCGGTACTAGGACTTAGCATGCGTTGTATCGATGTACATTGAACTTGGCATCCGCCATATTCTTTTTTGTTACTCGCGTTATTTGCTCCAGTGCAATTAAAAGTTTAATACAGGAATTGGTCGTGCCTCGGTTCTCGACTTGTTCCTTAACTGGCATAGCATTGTTTTTGCAGTTTACAATTTAATAAGGCTCAATCACCTTGAAAAAGAGAAAAACTACAAACAAATTGTGCATTGATGTAAACACATAGGTAGAGATCAAACACTTAGTAAATATACATTTTGTAAAACAAGCATTCTTGATATGACTTGCAATTTCATGAACAGAAATTCACAAGAGGAGGTTAAATTACTGTAAGTAGAAAAGTTATCTGTGTTCTGTTTTTACTTTAACCTAATTTATTAGTCTGGGCATGAACCTGATTAAGCTATGAATATTACGACACTACAAAAGAAAATGAAATCCTTAAATAAATTAATAAAAGCCCAAAGAGTGGTCTGTACAAATTTCAAGCATTAGGGCACTGATCAATTCCAAATTTCAACATCCCAAGCACAGTTGACCATTAATTATGACTACTTTACAAAGTATATAAAACATTGGGTTTTTTTGACTACCACTGTGGGAGGTGAGCTACTGTCAGGCCTCTGGAACATAATTCACTAAGAAGCCAGAATTATAAGGAAAGTTTATTTTCAATTCATTTCTTCTTTGGGAGAAGCATTGGAAAGTCCTTTTCCTTTTATACATTAATGATTTTAGCAACTGTTCTACTGTATTTGATTTTGACCTTTTTGCTGATTATTCAAATTTATTTTTGGCAGATTCATCCTTAGAATGCTTAGAAACAAGGGCGAATCAGGAATTAAAACATGTCCATGACTGGCTTTGTGCTAACATAATGTCTTTAAATATTGACAAAACAAATTTTGTGGTCTAGCTTCCATCCACTTAAGAAAAAAATTGACTACAACCATTCCTTTAAGAAATAAACCACAAGTTTATTAAACCAAAAGATCATATGAAATACCTAAGAGTAGTCGTAGACTCTCATCTTAATTTCAAGGAACACATTCACCAGCCAAGCACGAAAATTTCCAGGGGCATTGGGATCTTAGCCAAACTGCACCATCATGTTACTGTCACTATTTTAAAACTACTTTACTTCTCTCTTATCTATTCTTTCTTAATATATGGTGCTATTAATTGCGGTAACACTTATGTAACTACTTTGCACCCATTAATTGCGTTGCAAAAGAAGGTAGTCAGAATCATCAATTTTTCTCAATATACTGATCATACCTCTCAATTATTTAAAGATCTAAATGTTATCAAGCTCTTTGATGTTATTTATTATTTAAACTGTATCTTCATGTTTAAATTTCATTCATATCTACTGCCTTCTGCCTTGAGTAATCTTTTTATCCCTATATCATCAAGGCACAAGTATAAAACCAGGCTGGCCTCCAGATCTTCATTTTGCATTCCTTTGGTGAGAACAAATTATGCAAATTTAATATTCTCTTTAAGGGCGCTGTTATTGCAATAATGTTGAAGAATGTCTTGGCTGTTTCTGTAGGTACCGGAGCACAGTATAATCACACTCGAATAAATTAATTCTGTCTCGAGTGCATAATTTTCCCAAATTATTTTCAAATGGAGAAATTAAAGAAATCGTTTAAAAAGGCAATTATAAACCAAAAAAATAAGAAACTAAGCAATAATTGAGTCTGTAGGTCAGTCTGTCGCCTCAGACAGAGTCCACAGCCTCACCAGTTTACACTTCTTAGTCCACAAGTCCACAGGTCCACAGTCCACAGAGTGCAAAGGTCCACAGGGTCCACAGCCTCATCAGTTTACACTTCTTAGTCCATAAGACCACAGAGTCCACAGGTCCCCAGCCTCATCAGTTTACACTTCTTAGTCCATAAGACCACAGAGTCCACAGCGTTTACAGCCTCATCAGTTTACACTTCTTAATCCACAAGTTCACAGGTCCACATGTACAGAGTCCACAGGTCCACAGCCTCACCAGTTTACACTTCTTCGGTCCACAAGTCCACAGGTTCACGGAGTCCATAGAGTCCACAGTCTCACCAGTTTACACTTCTTAGTCGACAAATTCCACAGGTCGACAGCCTCACCAGTCCGTTTCATTAAAAATCGAAACAGGCCTCGGCGACCACTTACAAAAATGGTCCGATGAAGATTTCTAGGGTAAAAACTAAACTTATGGAGCAATTTTCAATGTCAAATACTACTAAATTACAGGCTTGTTTTAGGGTTAGGATTAGGATTAGGATTAGGATTAGAATCATCTTCATCTATCTCGTCAATTGATGGTATTAAACTCTCGTTATTTACCTGATTGTTTCAATAAAGTGGCAATGTCGTTTGTTGTCTGTTAGTTAAGCCGTGCTGTTATTGGCTATGAAGACTCGAAATGCGAGTGGTGCATTTTGATCCATCTTTAAATAACGGCAGTTTCATTCTTAACTCAAATTGTCGGTTTTCTGTTTTGGTCAGTCCTGCTTGAGTTCGTCAGGAAGTCATTTGTAAGGTGCCGGTTACTGCCGACTACGCTCCAGCAGCGTTTGCTCCAAGTTAGTAATCCAGTTTCCTAACACTGTTAGAAAGTTATTTTTAAACAATATAAAACATAAATAATCAGTGCAGTCTTATGTTTTGATGAGATAATCCTCTCTGTATGTTAACCTAACCTCAATTAACTCCCTATCCTTCACGCCTCACCCCCATAAGAGAACTTCTATGCCATCGGCACCCAGTTTGTTGAGTAAGCCAAGTCTATGTTCGAAAGCATGTTCTTCATTTGATCAACTAATATAAATTGCTTTGTTTTGTTGACAAAATAATGGAAACTACCACAAATTAAATTAAGCAAAGGAATCCTCTTGAGTCCATAGTTTATTAATGGTATCTACCTTACACAGTGTAGCTACATTTTTTTAAGTTCATATGACAAAACAGAAGATATAAGTAGATGACAAAACTGTTAATTTAGTTAAAGAAATAAAATATATGCATCACAGAGCTAAGGAACTGGTCTCAATTTGCAAAAATAATATTTTTTCTAACAAAACTCAAACTTGACTCTCAAAATGTACAACAACAGTGTCTGCTAAACAGTAATTAAATCAAATATAAGTCATTTGTTTTATTACTTATACACTGTTTCTCAGTATTTTCAAATTAAGTCAACATTATTTACAAAGTGAAATCATTAACAAGATGAACTAGATGCTTGTTTCAACTTTCATATCATTGTTAATTTCCTTTTAAACCTACATAGTAAAACTAACACTGTCCACTTTTTTTGGAATATTTCTGTTATAAATTAAATCCATTGCCGATAGCAACGCGCGTCCT